CGCTCGACTTTCTACTCTATTGTGCGAGAATGTCCGAATCAATTTCACGTCGGATGGGCATGAGACAAAACTTGACGAGACTTTAGACGAGACAAGATGAGACCATCTAGAACCAAACATACAAGGTTCCGAGACTCTCTTTCCAAAGAAAACACTTTTTCGTTTCATTCATTTCTTAGGAAATCCCCAAAACAATAACCCTAACCCTTCATAACCCTTCACTACATGTACATATTAGGATATTTCAGGTCGTTTTGGCTGGAAAAGACCTGTAATCACAAGTCTGGAGACTTTGGCAAGACTGACTCTTATATGTATTGGCAATTACAAACATGAACCCTAATATTCCATGACGAGACAATACTATGCTCTAGTCTCGCCTTGTATTGTGCCCATCACTAAAGTCTTCGCGTACTGCCAGCCAGGGACGCCCGTGTAAAAGATCTGTATTGCCACTGTAGTTCTCATAATTATAAATACTGTACCAATTACAATCACCCCAAACATCTCCGGTATTGTACCTGCCGGCACGCATACTTATGCACGATTGACCCCTTACCTTATAACACACATAGCTAGGCCCAGTTACCAGTTTGAGGTTGATTCACAAGTTTCAAGACTCTCCCTGCGTTGCTTGAGTGCTTGCTTGCAGGTTCCATAGATCTCAATAGATAGATGTTGGTGTTCATGATGCTTCAAACAATGTGGGTAGATTTAGTAGCTAAATTTAGGTATGTATATCACACTACTCTGGGTAAGTAGTCATAACCAGAAGACCAACTATTCTGCCGCGATACTTACACATACACTTTTTTCTCTATAGATCTCCTCTTCTGTTCCAAGGACTCATGGCGATTTGTAATTGTGGCTCATCATACAGTTGAAACCGTCGACAGAAGGTGGTGCAAAACCGACCCACTCCGCACGCAGAATTGGTAATGATGTATACGCCTTATCGTTAAAACTGTGTCTATCACGGCCATAGTGCCGTCGTGGGCCTAATATGTTGTGATAGATTACCGGGAACAGACGAGGCTTGGAATGCCCTCAGGAAGGGCCGGCCATATAGCCATACCACAAAGCTAACATCGAGCTACGCACTGCAAACAACAATCCGAAATCCAGTCTCCACAACGCGATACCCCTGCTTGATTACTCGAACTTGCCAAATTTCCCCTCGAATAATGTAAGTATAGCGGGCCTCTGCTATAGCGAACTCCAGTAAACCGAATATTTGCTATAGCGAAGGGTCTCGGACAGGCTTTTTTTTCCCCAGCCAAATTCGTGAAAATGATGCTGATATACCGAATTTCACTCCGGATCGAATCTTTGGAACTTGACCCCCCCTGTACCCCCCCTGTCCCCATACAAAATAATTCTGCAGTAACGAATTTGTGAATTTACTGGTGATACACTAGAACTATTAAGGGTAGATTACTTGGAGATACACACCCCCTCGAGCCATCATGAAGGTGTCAAAATTCACTCCTCTACTCACAAATACTTGTCTATTACCACCAGTTCTGCTTCAATTTTTTCCAGGGTAGTTCAAGTGCATAGTCTATCACGATCACTCTATATCAAGATATATTTGAAGACCAATGGCCTGTTTACTGCAACCCTATTGATGGGGACTTGTCATATCCCTCATTTGTACCCTCACAGTGGGCTCACTCGTGTGAATTTGCCGGAATAAAACCTAACCCTATTATGATAATTCTGCTGTACTGAACGATCTGCTATACCGAACCGGTTTTTGCGGATTATGCAGGTTCGATATAGTGGAGGGGCGCTGTAGTTAATAATCAAGCGGGGAAGTGAGCGAGCACCGGGTTTATACCTGAGGACGATCATTGACCCTAGCTCCCACCCCTCATCTCGTTTACCTGGAGTACCGCGGCATCGTTAGGGCCCACGAAACCACAATCTCCTCATAGGGTACCTCTCCACTAGCGTGATTTTGTGAGACAGTCCCCACTTTGCCTCTGGGAGAGCTGTGGGAGCTAGGTAGATGCGAAATGCGTAATATTACGCAGATAATTATATAGTCCTGAGCACTGCCTCTCCTGGTAGTAGAGTTACCGGCGTTTCCATCGAGCTTTCTGAACTCATTTCTTTGTCAGGTGCTAACATTATGTCTCCTTTAGCTTCTCGAGTTGTTCGAATTATATCGTGATATGACGGCCATAAGGTTTCCAGTGATTGATGGCTCATCATCATAACCAACACCAACTCCGGCCACATCTCTCAGCTAAGAGTGATTAGAAACCGCCCTCTCCCCCCGCACACACCCCACGAAGCAAATGCCTCTCCCTCGGGCACCATCTTAGTAGCGGCACTAATACCGAACTCGTCTTCTTAATATTAGCTGCTAAACGCCCTTATTAGCGCATGCTCAGTCATCTACTCTTTCAAGCTAGAAGTCCTTCTCGTGGCGCACTAGATATGGCTAAATATATCCTTCACCACATTGGGTGTAGGTACGTATCGTTGTGCATGCAGGACTAGAGACTGGAGCATAATAGAGAAGTATAGTATGTATGTGTAGGTAAATTTAACATATAGAGAGATAGAGAACTCAGGAAAGAAGAACCAAGCAAGGCTTCGATCAATTTGCCGCAGGCTGTCTGTCGAATAGGCGCGCCTAACAACCAAAGTGTTTTCCAGGTTCTTCTATCCCGAGTGCCTTGCTTGCCATATCGGGAGATATGATCGATCACGGAAACATGCTGCACTTTGTGCTTGTTTTTGTTGGCGCACGGGCGCTCAGCCTGGCAGTACTAGTCGGCGCACGGAGAAGTCCATTCGGTTCTAGACCCAGGGGCCCTCAGGGGTTCTAGGTACAGATGCCTCGTAGATCTGGTTCTTTTTGGTCATTAGGTATTACTTGAGATATGTGGCTAGCCGATACATCGCTAGGGACGCATTGCCAAAATATTTATGATGCATGTCCATACTACTCTACGAACCGTCTTAATTAACAGTATTATAGCTTCTAGCGCAGACTTCATGGCGGCAATGTCCGCACTGCGTTCGATTCACAACGCGGCTATCCGCGACTAATCTGCTCAATCCATTCAACAATCAAAGTTTTATCAAGCTCGACTCTGGTTTGATCAAGCTCTAGCGACACTAAAGTTAGTTTTGAAACAGATACATACGTGGCTACGACTGTAGGTTGTATCCTGCGTGCGTAGCTACATGTAAATAGCTACATGTCAGCTGTGGGCAATGCCACGATACTAGCTCTTAGCTAGAAGAGAGTATGAGGGGCATCCCATATCTCAAGCTCTCATCCGTATACCTCCAAAGCACAAGGACGCTTACCCAAGTCCATTCTCCATGCCTCCACGCGCATATATTCAAGCGCGTATTTCCCCAAATATAATATGAACGTCAGCCAGCGACCTGAGCACAAGTGTGCGGCTAAATGCCGCCTTCTTTTCGGGTTCTAGACGTCGACTGCTCAACCACTAAAATTAGTACCAATTGTTCCCAAAAATCCTCCTAGGGAAGAAATATGTGTCGACGTTCACCACCATGCATTCCCGGCTCCTGCTCAGCCTCGGCTGGATCCGGGGTCGTAGGGCTAGGTGCATAATATTACGTGCACATACGATTAAAGCCTTGATCATGAATTGAATTCGGCCTTCCCTGGCCCCTCTACCTATCGATCACCAGCGATTCTTTCTCCTCTGTGCTCAAGGGACACTGCGCCTCTGTAGTAAGTAGCTTGGCCCTGAACCTTAACCAAATCGCCAGTTGTTTCGCGGATTATGCAGGTCCCGGTAGGGATTAGCCTGGAACGAACGACATGTATGCATGCGCCTCGAACTGTTCAATGCCGTCATGGCCCATCACTCGCCGCACAGAGTCCTTGATATTGTTCGTTTTCAAGGGCACAGAAAGCTATCATTTCTCCCCTCCCCCTACACATCGGTACATGTGTGTTTAAGACACCGACCCGGGTGTCTTAGTTTCGATTTCGCGGGTGCTGTTGCCAAGGCCCCCATGGACGCAAACAATTCCGCACGCGCGTATGCGCGACCTATCAGATGATTTTCCCAACACGAGCGCCGAGGGAAGGGCCTTTTCATTCAAGCTGTGTGTTATGGATTCTAGGCTTTCTGGTCCGCTCAGTGTTGGAGCGATCTAGCCTAGAGGGCCCAGCTCCCCTCCTCCTCCTCCTGGTAATCTTATGTTTGTCGATCCAGCCTTCTTCGAGTTTGAGGGTGAGTGAGTGAGTGTAGGTAGGTCATATTTGTTCCGATAGCTAGCCCCATGGTTGCACGAATTGCGCGGAGACCGAATTAAGGACTGTAACCTTTTTTTTTTATTGCGTGTTTTGTTCGTGTCAGCCTGGAATTGGCCCAGAATTTGGGCTGCCGATAATATTTGTGTTGTTTGTGCTTATTTTCATACCTTCTGTTCTGTTAACCACGCGAGGGGGGGGGGGGGGGGGGGGGGGGGGCAGAATCGGGTCATTTGGAACAAACGGCGTGGGTCTCGGGAAGCACGTATGCGTCCACTTCGACCTTGTTTCAACTTCTCCAACCCAACTCTTCTCGTCAAAGATCCCCGAGCTCCCCCACCCCCTCCCCTATTGTATTTCGTTTAGAGCAATGGGCCTTAATGCGTTCCTCAGGTAGGTACTGCAGTTACTTGCTCTGGGTATGGTCACCCTCTGTGCCGCCGCCGCACGGCTAAGTAGGTATATGGTTTGCGCGCCGTGTAAGATCATGAGGCATGAGTAAAAACATGATGTCAAGATATGGCTCCCATTCTATTTTTGCTGGGTCTTTGTTTGTTTTTTGTTAGTCCTCTCCCCCCTTCCCTTCAATTACCCTTCATTATTGATTTTTATATAAAGGGAGCTTTACTTACGCACTGCTTGGATTTTATTCTCCACCCTTAGTACCTAGCGCAAGTACCTGACACCTACACACCTCCTCCACCCATATATCCCTTTAAGCCATTACACACATATACCCTTAGCGACGATGAGACAATCTATCCTCTTTATGCTTTTACTGTCGCTGTTTGTGTTCTTTGTGACTGCGGAGTACGACATCAGCGAAGATTGCGACGATGATAGTACACAAGACTGGTTCAATATCAAGATCCGCGCCACGGGTAACAAATATATAACGATCAACAATTACCAAATGGATATAAAGCATGGCACATTTGGATTCAACCGTACTGGCGCGACGATTTTTGAGGGTGTACGCTCTACCTCCTATCAATTGGATTGCAACTTCTGAAGAATATTACTAAGAAAAATATCATTGAAATAGTACATCAACGGAACTGAAAAAGGAAACTCATACCTCGTGACGCGCGATGACGGATTTGGTTATCTCCTGGAGGACGAGGCTCCTCTATATGATTTCTTTTACAGCCTTGAAATCCCTCCGGTATGTATATAGTCTTCTTCTCTTTTTCCCATAATTTTGGTATCGAGCAGTGACTAACATAAGAGAAAATTAACTAGACCGAATTCAAAGGGAACTGGTCAATTGAGGGTGGGTTTCTGGCGTGCCATGAGCTGACGGACGGCTTCAAATATTTCCCGGAATCAGACGGTGGTTATGTGGTATGTGTTCCTCTTTCTTTATTGTTCCCCAATTACCTTTTAGAGATTGAGTTGCTAACGCAAGGGGAAACTTGTAGATTCGCTGGGATACGAGGAAATCTGGAGGGTACCCCCTTCTGATGGTGGTCGATTAGTTGTTGGATGCTTGGTGGGGCAATATGGTGGCAAATACTTCTCTGCTCGCTGCGGTTCTGCATATAGAGCCCAACGAAGGGATGCTTGAGTTTCAAATATTGATACCAGAAGTGTGTATGTGTGTGTGTGTGTGTGTGTGTGTGGAAGTGTGGGGGGCTTGAATTAGAGGCTTTCGAACGGTTTACTATCATTAATATTTCTTCACAGTAGTTACTAGGGTATTTCTTTGGGGCCACACATTCATTTGTACATTATTCTTTTCTTTTATCGACAGAGGGTTCTATCGGAATGACACACCTGTACTGGACAATATGATTGTTGTGACCATATATTAACCGTCTCCAGTTGAGTTAATTTGGTATAGATAAAATCGCCCCATGAAATATTATTGCGATTTCCAGGTTGGTTGTCAGTTGTCAGGGTCGTTTGCTCCAGGGAGAAAAAGATTGAAGTTCCCGGCCCAATCCGAGTCAGAAACATCGAGGCGTTTGAATGATAGATGTTGGATATGCGTCCATCTACGTGAACCTTCACCAAAAATAGGCCCCCATAAACAGAGCACGCAATTTTGTTACATGTCTAAGACACCCAGTATTGGGAACTTCAATTTTTTCTCCTTGGAAATCGCAATACTACCAAGGCTCCACGTAAACGATTGCAGGCTGCGCCTAGTTTTGGCATGACGTGTTTACGTGACTTCCTTAATTGTAAGATGTCCAATTATCGGTCCAGAGGCTGGTGTATTCCTGGAGCTAGACCTGTTAACGATCATTAATCGGAGCAGGAAGAGTAGGTGCCATATCTCGTCATAATCTCCCCAGTTTGTGTGCTTCTGGATCTCTTTGTTCTTACCTTTTTATTAGTCGCCCAATCTATTTTATCACGCAAACCCGTTAGCAGCCATAGATGCGGTGATAGGCCTTGTGCGACCAATGAATCGGCATCGACCCCACAGCAAGGATCAAACTACTCACATGAAGATCATACAATCAAACAATCAAATGGGCCGTTCTAGCCAGTGCCCAGGGTAGAAAAGAAGCTTATATTAAGCTTTCCAACATGCAACACTCGAGCCGATCGGCCATGGATACCATGGCCAGCAGTGGTCTAGACCATTGTTATGAAGTCCTGCTCCGGTGATGGATACAAGACCATATATGAAAGGCTGTAGCTGGTCGACAGAGCGCTAGCTGTAGGGGCCGGCGTGCAGCTGTCTCAAAGTATCCCGGTTTGCTCATGGAACAAGTCTGGAGACGAGAGCTTAAATACTTTCTTGTGCTCGGTGCGACCACGCGTCCAGTTGTACTTTGAGAAGACGTCTCAATACATGTACATGTACATGTAGTAAATGATAAATGGTTCGATTAGAGCACGAAAGAGGATCATGAAAGACCATCTGATATCGAGAAGTCACGTCTAGTTAGTGTACATAGACTGTAGATTGTTAACTACATACCGTAGTACCAAACCCACCTTATGGCGCCATCCACACACTCAGCTCATCTCGTCGCCCTTAATTGGGCCTACCAGAGCACAGAGTTTCCGGCCCCCAATATTACCACGGGCCAGCCCGAGGGGCGATCATAGCCCGAGCAACGCTGACTAGAACCCGGGAACCCGGGACCGTTCGATTGCGCTGCATATATTACCTGCAAGAACTAATAGGAGCATTTCATATGTCTTGTCATACAGCTACTTAACTAGTACTAGGGTTAGGGTTAGTTATACTGCCAAGCCTTTGCTGAACCTCAAAATATTCCCGCCGGGTGAGACGAACAAGCACCGGCAGCACCGACTGACACCGATTGACCCACGCCCACCCGTCCTGTCCGGAGGAATTGAGCTGTATATCTCCCCCTCCCATGCCTCCCCTAGTCCCTCCCCAACCAGTAAACTAACACGCACAACCAGGACACCGCACAGTACACACAATGTTCCGCCGCCTCCTCCCCACCAACCTCTTCGCCGCCCCCCGCAGCGCCATAACAACCCTCACCCGCGCGCTGCACCCCTCGCTCCCGCCGCCCCCCGTCCCGGAGCGCACCACCGCAATCCCCGACGTCACTACCTTCCTGACAAAGATCGGGCGCAACACGACACAGCACGCGGCCAAGTTCGAGACCTGGGAGCAGTTCTTCAACCTCACGTCCGCGCAGATGAAGGCGCTTGGTATCGAACCGGCGAGGGACCGCAAGTACATATTGCATTGGAGGGAGGCGTTTAGGGTGGCCGGAGGCAGGCTGGCGTTGAGAGAGCATAAGAGGGGAGTCAAGATCGATGGTGGTGAGAGGAGAAGGAAGGAGGTGAGGGCGAAGAGACGCGCGGCGGAGAATAAGGATCGTAGGCAGGCAGCGGAGAATGAGAAGGTGGAGAAGGGGAAGGGCTTTGTGTAAATGGTTGGGTGGCTTGGGTGGTAGTGTGGGAGATGGAGGGGGGGGATAGACTTGGGAATAGAAATAAAAAACTATTTGAAGCTATCTCGTGAGATTGTGGGTTTTTGCGGGTTTGGTGTTGTGTTGATGCGGGGGTATAGTCCTTTCTGCTTGTAGAAGGCCTGAAGTAGCTGGAAAGGCAGCTGGAAAGCAGGTATGCGTTTCACTTCTGCCCCAATAGCAATTGTAGATTAGGGCTTACATCTTCGGGGAGTGAGCAGCAGTAATAGTTACGGCCATCAGTTCAGATTCCTCCAAGCACCCATCAATTATAAATAATATACATATAATCCCTCCACAAAGACCTCCCATAAGAACAGTATCGTATCACATAAGACAATTACTAGACCTCTCTACAGTAACAAGACCCAGCCGTTAAGCTGTCAATGATCACACGATAGATAAATTGTAAATTGTACTTCAGGAACGCCAACCCAAATCTCCACATGAACGCGGGCCTAAGAAGACTTAATTATGGTCAATGAAGGGCCAGGACGTAACGCAACGTTAATAACTAGCAAAAAATAGACCTAACAAATATCAATTTCTACACAACCACCAGATATGGGAAACAAGTAGGAATAGGTCAATAGACTATATCAAGGGCAAAGATTCTCATAGTGCTGTCAGAATAAAAGATTTAAGAGTATTCGCTTAATCTTTCCCCTAGTATCTTAAAACAGTAGGTTTCAACCAATTTGATGTAGAGCCTCCTACTGGCTAAAGGAACTTCTGAGAAATAAAATATACACTCTTTAGAACATTCTCTATCAGCAGGGGAAAGCCTCTGGGCAGATTTGTTGGCTGGTTTGGGCTTGTTAGGTTTGAGCCCAGAAGTCAAGTTTTCTCAGACCCGCGTTCACATGTAAACCAACAAATCTATCATTCACACCAGATGCAGGTAAACCCTAGCCCTCACTGCATTCCTACTATTATATTACAAGCACCGGGCGACCAAACGTCATTGTCAATTCTACAGGCCCCCGACACCCATATACAAGCATTGGGCGTGGGCCTGGGCGAGGTGTTTCTGATAACGGCCTAGCAGAACACCGCCAGCGTAAATGGGAGCTCCGTATATATTTCTAAAGTTCAGTCTAATTTCGACATCGAAAGCTGGAGGACTCGGCGTGGCTCGAGTGGTGGGCGTGGTGTCTTAATTCAACTGCTTATTTCTCTGGCTATCATGCTGGCGCCGGCGCTATATCACGAAGCCTGATCTAGGCTAGACCTTCATTCCAACCTAAATCCTCACTACCATCGAAACATACAGTATTAGAAATGGGGTAAATCTGATACCGCATCAGTATGGTATTGTGAGAATGTGCCGCTTTATCTCCATATTTCAACAAAGTATACGGTAGTGCTACGGTAGTGGTACGGCATTGCCAATGACTGCGGTAGTCGTTTTATCCATGTTTCTGTCACTGTAGGTAAGCACTGCCAAAACATCTTATATCGATCAAGACCAATACAATCCAACTGCTCAGAATCGTGTGGAAAATAAAAGAAAAATTGTTAAATCTTATGGCCCCCGAAACACCATAGATCCAGCGGGGGGTGAACCAAAAAGACCCGCCAAAAATTGAAGAGTGTGCTTCCCCGGACAGGCTTGAACTGTCAACCTCTCGATTGCATCTTAACAGTCGAACGCGCTAGCTACTTGCGCCACGGAGAACCTGGTCTCGCGGCTGGCTGGGATTATTATCAGGGATTTGGCTACCGTGGCTAGTGATTGATTCACGGGTTTGCTTTGCCAAACCTGTCAGCGACAGAGCTAAGAGGAATCAGGAAGAGGAATTTCTGGACTTGGAAGCAGGCGGCGATTACCTACTATAGTGCTCGTTCTCCGAAGCGCCGATGCCGATAGAGAGGTGTGGAATGCGAGAGGAAACCTGAACATCACTAAAAACCCGGATGCCAGAATCATGGCATGAAGATCAAAGAGAAAATTCCAGGCGTTTCTGAGTTCAAGCATTTTGAAGTGCGTGAAAGGATGATCGATTTCTTGGCGTGGACCCTGATGGCTCCGTCGGTCGATCAGTTTTTACTCGGGATACCGTGGTGTACCCCCCTGCTCTATAGTACAGCTTATATGCCCCTATCATCAACACGGTGAGGAGCGAAGAGTGACAAGTAGGTCCTTGTGATAAGCCGCAAGTCTTGACCACATTGAGGTATCTACTGTATGATCGGTGCAAAGCAATGCAATTCAAACATCGTCCACGCTAGACCCACGTGATTCGGCCCATTCGCGTCTGTGCTTTGCATGTCTCACTTTCCAATTTCCCTGCGAGTTCGCCACCCGCTCGCGATTGGCGACAGCACCGTGGGAGGTGCGGGGTAGACCATATGCAGGAATCCAGATGGCAGCAAGCAAACGATATCTCGTAACTGCATGCTAACCGCAACCCATCGCAGTGTTTATGGGCATTTCAAATCACAGCATCCCGTAAATCCGAGTGATTGTCCATGCCTGGAGTCCCCATTCGTGTTCCGGCCGGAATACCCCATGCTTGGCGGCGGGCCAATGATTTCTAGCTAGCTGCCAGCTACAGTCTTTTACCGTCTCTTGACGAATACTACCAGTTGACGAACAGGGGACTTTGGGCCAATAGAAATTAAAAGGACCGGAGATCTCGTAGCTTGGCTGTTGCTTGACTGTTTCATTCCATACTTGGAATCCCTGTTCGTCAAGTGGCAGTATTCGTCAAGAGACGGTAAAAGACTGTAGTGCAATGTTAGCTCCAGGGCTCTCAGCCCTTCTCAATAAAACACGATCCCTGCGACGCCTTCCCAGAATAATATCACCGGATCGAGAGGCTGGCATATGGAGGAGATGAGAGACCGCACTCCATACTCTACCAGTGGACAGTTTTGATCAAGCCCGGCAACACACCAGCAGGAGATGAAGGGGGCGAGAACGGCCTCCATAGATATGTCCCCGGTCCCGCTACGATTCTACTTTATTATGCATGTAGTCCGTGCATGGTGGTGGATCATCTGAATAATATTCCGAGACATGTTATAACCAGCAGTTAATGTGCACTATGTCATGCTCATCGATTGCGTGCAGATCATCAATTGCAGTTGCCCCAGACCTCGACACAAGCTAAACTCGACAGATAACCAGCTCAGCTACAGCTGACGCAATAGTCATTGCCAATCAATTGACCAATGCACAGGAACGAACCCACCACGCGGGGCTGGCTGACCATGTATGTGTGTTACGCTACCTCCTCTCCTGCCAACCCCTCATCGATCAAGCTACGCACTCCCATAGCTGTATATAAAAGGCCCTCTTCTCCTTCCTTCCCGCCGAACCATCATCACCAAAGATCATCCATCAAACTCAATCTTACCACCACTTCAAAGACCCACTACACAGGCACTTAGAACAACTAAACAAACATCATGTCTTTCCACCTCTCATCCAGCAACATCCGCGTTGAGTCCCACGATGGCCGCACCTACCTCTGCGCCCACATGAACGGCGGCGGTGATGACCGCATGTGTCTTGACGACCATATTGGAAACAATGACGGTCAGTAAACTCCCTCCACCTCCTCGCTCTTTCCGCAATCAACTAATATCGAGCAATGATAGGTCACTTCGCATGGAATGGCAACAACTTCACTAGATCTGCCAGGAATGTCCGCTTCAACCTAGAGGGAGGTGCCAATGTCCCTGTTTTGAGGGCAGAGCTGAGAGACTCCCATGATAACTGGCACGACCGTGATCTCAACTTGGCGGAGCGCATCACAAACCACAACGGAAAGCTCGCATACCAGTAGATGCGTAGCACGGCTGGTAGTGTAGGAGGGAGATGGGGGGGTGTTTTTCTTTTTCTATACTTTACGGAATATAATTGTTGAGCAAGCAAACCATCGTCCTTTCGTTTTCCCGTGATGAATTGATCCACTTTCTCCAAAACCCTTTCAATGAGCCACCCGTTGGATATCGCTACTCAAACAATGCCCACGCTGCTACCTACATCCATTGTACCTGCCAATGGCTTGCAGACCCTCGTATCTGTCCGGATTGAAGCTATCTTTCATATCCTCGTGTTCGTTCCAAATATTGACCTACTATTCTTTTGAACATGATGTCTATAGATGAATTGAGCGGTTCAGCAAGTTAATTGGCCAAAGGCCAATTAAGCCTCTCTCTCACCAAGGAGCGGTAAATTGAATTCAGCAGCAATTGCTGAAGCAAGCCATCCACTCACCCCACTCAAGAACCCGATCAAACAACCCCCTGCCCACAACCCCAACCCCAACCCCACCACGTGCACCCCCCACCACCCCACTCCTTATCCCACTTACATAATCAAATCACGCCTTGGCGATAATAATAAAAATATAAAAAAGCACAAGCTGCTCATTGCAGCAAGGATTCAGTGGTGTAGTGGTATCACGGGCGCTTGCCATCTCATCGATGATTTGCGCCCGACCCGGGTTCGATTCCCGGCTGATTCATTCTTTTGGCGGTTTTTTGATGAGGGCTTTGGTAGATGGTGCACCGGTGGTTTAGGTTTTGATATTGTTTGGTGAGTGGGTTTGGGTTTGTCTGGTGGAGTTTTTTTTGGTTGTTTGGTGGTTGAGGTTGTGTTTTGGCGAGTGGGGTTGCGTTTTGTGCGCTGTGGTGTGGTTTGGTTTGGAAAAGAGGTTGTGAAAAAAATATTTTCGGGCAGACAGCACTCCATAAACCAAATCTTATTACGCCAAACTGTACAATTACAATTGGTTAATTTCTATAAATCCTTTTATAAACCTCTAAAAACCCCTTAATAAGGGCCCGTAGTGATTTTTTTTGTATCAATTAGAAGCGTTCTCGGGAGCGTGGAACATGTAGTGAGACTTGTAACGGCAGATGGTTTACAGAGGTCGACACTTAAATACGAGTGATGGCGAGTGACGGGGGAGTTTCTGTTCTCTCCCCCCGGGAGGGGCTCGCAAAGTCTCGGCGAAGAAAAATCCACTGATCACCAGTGATTCACCACCACTACCGGCGGCGGCGTCGGATCTGCGATCAACCACAACCAAAAAAAGTTTCAACTTAACCAAAGTCATCTGTGTGGAGAGCAAAACAGATGATTTCGCCCGGGCTCGAACCGGGGACCACAAGTGTGTTAGACTTGTGTGATAACCAACTACACCACGAAACCAGCTGCCTGCTTCTCTCCCCAGGCATATTCAAACATTTTTTACCCCGCGGACAGGGTCTGACTGGAAGGAAGTGGGGATCCCTGCGATTATGTGGGGGCCTTAATTGTGCACAGGGTTCGTGTTTAGTTTGTGGTATGACTAATCTGCAGATTCCCGCGCGACTTTCTTTGAGAATTCAGACACTGGTGAATTTTACTTTATGCCTGAGAGCAAGGTTTTGTGAGGGGATACTTGTGTGTCAATGTCGTTTTATTTATCCAAAGAGTTGTATGCGTGGTCCTGAAGATAACGGGGTCACGGATATTAACAATCCTGATCACTTCGCAGCTCTCACCATGAGGGCATCGACAACGTCCGGTGAAGCAGGTACTGCACGACATTCCTTGAAACACGATCGGCAAAGGCTAGTAGAGTACTACGTATGCATCTAGTACTAGAGATAGTCTCCAAAGACATGGAAATTCCCTCGAGAATGACTCCTTCCAAAAAGGTTTATTTACCAGGATGAAGTTTTCAGCTTTCCGCACTTATCCAAATACGACAACGAATGATTACTGCGTGACAGCGGCAACGGCGACCGAGTGAGAGGTGGTGACATTAATAATGCCCCAATTTACCGGTGCCTAACACATGCATGCATCCTTTACCTGGGATTCAGATGTCAGCCCCCGCGCTGAGGAGTCATCGCGGGTACCTCATCACTGTCCTGTTAATTTACTTGCGGCTCCATGTCTTATTTTTTTCACAGCATACCACTAGCAGTAACGTACTGCTTACCTTGTACAGAAAGTTGTGCTCTAATGCTCTGTTGCAGATCGTTCATGAGTCAAGCTTAAATGCACGGTCGTCGATAAGAACATGTACTCTACGTATACCGGGAGTAGATCAATGGGGTTGCCTTGGAGCTGAGACAGATAATACAGAGTCGTAGGGAATACTAACTATATGCATAGTTCTGCGTAAGCATATTGCATAACGAGTGAGCACTTTGATTGTTGCCTGAACCCAATCGCGAGCTTGTTACCGTCTCAATACAAGTCAATTAAGACGCCTATACTATAATAATATATCATGAACTCGTCCTACACACGCGCTGTCGAGATATATAAAGCGAATTAGTCCCCCCCCCCCCCCCCCCCCCCCCGACTTCATTTCTGCATACCACGCAACGCCGCTGACACCACACACCTCTCATTCCGCTTATAATTTTAAAACTCTTTTCCCGTTCTGCCTTCAAGAATTAAATCCATACAGCATGCCCGCTCCGATGTCAGAGGAGGAGCGCCAACGGATATCTGGTAATAGCGCTCTCAAGAGAGCTGAATCAGGCTTCCGCAGGGCACCGCTCCCACGTAGTAGCACCACCCCCGGCGCGATTGTATCGGCCATGGAAATCACACAGCCTGGAAGTAGTGCGAAGCTACTTGCTGCTAAAGATGGGGATACTAAGAAGTCTAAGAGATCAAAGAAGAAGGCAAAGAAGGATAAGAAGAAGGAGGGGGAGGCAGAAGAGCAAAAAGACGGGGAGACAGGTATGTCTATACACATTTTTTCTCCAAATCCCGAAATATCAGAAGATTCTTATGTAGCTAACAAACAACCAACAGAGACCGAACAGCCGAAGCCCAAAATGGAGGTCACGGTCAAACACCTTGAAAAGCGCTTCGACGACCAGGGCCACCGTTATCTCACGGAACCTGGCTCCGAACCTCCAAAGAAGGCGACGGAAGATAAATGGGCGAATTACATCCTCTGTGAGATCACTCATTTCAACTGGGAGCAGAAGGTTTGCCAGCGGTCGCTGGAAGTCAAGAGTAAGCACTTGAAAGCTGTCCTTAGGAAAGTCATTGGCGATCAGTACCCAGGCGTGTCGTTTCGAACGGTAGCCATCAAGTTGTCGTTCCCATTGAACTCTTTATACCACTATCTGGAAGAGCTGAAGGCGGAACTGGAGGTTATGAAAAAGGCGAGCGCTGCGGATACGGAAAAGAAGGAGGAGACTAATGGGGGTGCCAATGAAAAACCCAAAAACCCGGAAGAGGAGAAACTGAGCAAGGAAGACGCGGAGGAAGCCATAGCTCACCTTGAATATCTCGTCAACTACCTAGAGATTGAGTTTGATGAAGTGATCAAGGATGTCGCAAATCTACTCCCACAAGGGTTGATTAGCTACGAGATGTAAGCTACCCACCCCCCGGGCTTAGAGGTTTTATCTATATACTAACGATTTAAAAGCCTCTGGACTATCTTCAAACCCGGAAGAGCCATCTACGCCAGATCTCACCACGACCAGCAACGCTGTCTGCAATTTGAGCGCGGCGACTACATTAACGGTAATGAGCCGCGCTACAGCTTGGATGTAAAATATGTTGATTACGACGGAAAGTATTTCGGCATGACGCAGACTACTGTCCCCATATTGCCCTTCGAAGGCACAATGAAAATCACCTCCCTCGCGGCATTCCCACTGGAATATCACCCCAAGAAAGATGTAGTCAGCAAATTCCTGATTGAGAGAGGGCGACGATTCGAAGGATTAAAGGGCTGCCACTACATGGAGTACACGGGCGTCGGCTTGGGCGAGACGATTAGATGCGGAAGGGCTCAATATAGCGTATGTGCATTGAATTCCCGATTAATTTGCTTCTAGACTTGAATGGACCGCTGACATTACCACAGATCAAAGGCAGAGTGATGTGCGACAAGGCAACATACAACCGCATCAACCCTGACCGGGGAATCATGATTGTGCCCCTCCCAGGCCAAGCTCCCCAGAGCGAAGACGGCGAAAACCTCTTCATGAAAAACAACTGTGAACTTCCTACTACCAAGCCATTGACCGATGAACAATGCCTCCTGGCCTCGTTCCTCATTTCCGGTTTCGCTCTTTCGGAAAAGAAATGGGTCGATTTCTATATCGACAACCTGTCCCCCATTCAGTGGAACGAGAACGCATTCGACCAGCTTGTTCTCCCGCCTTCACAGAAGTCGCTCGTGCGTGCCCTTGTCGAGTCCCACGTCAGGGACCTAGACGGCTTCGACGACATCATCAAAGGCAAAGGCAAAGGCTTCATCTCAATCCTGCACGGACCCCCGGGTGTCGGTAAAACGCTCACCGCCGAGTCCGTCGCCGAACACACCCGCCGCCCGCTATACGCAGTCTCATCCGGTGAGCTCGGGGTCAATCCGAAAGACCTCGAGGATAACCTCTCCAGGATTCTTGATGTTGCTACCCAATGGAAGGCCGTGCTACTCCTTGATGAGGCAGATGTGTTCTTGGAAACACGTTCACTCCACGACCTGACCCGTAACTCGCTGGTCAGCATATTCCTGAGGCTGTTGGAGTACTACCAGGGGATCCTGTTTTTGACATCTAACCGCGTCACGACCTTCGACGAGGCATTCCAGAGCAGAATACATGTTGCACTCAAGTACAACAAGCTAGACAGGGACGCGCGGATGCAGGTCTGGAAGAACTTTATGAACTTTGACGACTTGAAGGGCGGGAAGGAGCTGCTTGAGAGCGTGATAGACCGGGAGTTGAACGGCAGGCAGATTAAGAACTGTGTGAGAACCGCAAGATCTCTGGCCGAATCTGAGGGGAAGAGGGTGGACCTGAGCCATCTTATGGTTGTGTTGGACATCCAGCAGCGGTTTGAGAACGACTTTGGGGGTTTGATAACGGGGGCTGTGACCAATGGTATCAGTGATACTTCGAACGGGAAGATGTAAATATGTGGTTTTGTTTGGGGACGGTGGGGTTAGAATATCTGTATCTTGGTTTTAGCGTAAATTCTATAGGCATTCCATGCTTGTATTTGGACTCTTTTTTGTCTCGTATTGATGGGAATCTTTATATATTGCGGTATGCGGATTAGGATCGATTGTGAGAATTCATGAATCATGAGTCATGACTCGTGTTTTCTTCAAATTTTCGTGTGCACAAATTTCAAATTATCATATTAACAACCCCCTAATATACGTTGATCATTGACCGATGAGTCTCATAAAAACAAAACGCCGTGGAAGGCATTAGAGGACGCACTATAGTTATTTTATTCACCCAATTTTGTAGATATGTATACAGTCACCTACGGTCACTCGATGGTGAGCGTCTTTACTCTTTGTCCGTTTACCGGCGCAGATCAAGATAAGATAATATATCCCACCAAACACCCCTCTTATGTTAGGTGGGGTTTACGCTCAGTTGAACTTGCTGCAGCTTTTGCTGCCGGATTTGTTTTTTTATACTCTCCAGTTGCCGCCAGTCGCTGCTTCTCTTGTGTGAAAAACCCCACAGAAAGAAACCTGATCTTAAAAAGTGTTATTCGAGATGTTAAGGCTTTTATATCTCTTATTTTGGAATAAGACTCTGCCTGCTGTTAGAAAAGGAAGAGGAGGGGTTGAGCCTAGAGCCCTGTGGGCAAGGTATACTTACAACTGGTTTCTACTCTATCAGAACGATACATATTTGCAAACCGTGTAACGATTCGATTCCCTCCTAGATAGAGTGATTAATTCCAACAGAAACGGTGACTGGGCGGCCTCATGTGGTGCCGGAGGGGGTTCACTGCTGATATATAACTACTTTGTAGATTTCGCTGTCGTAAACCTCACGTTTCTCGATCACAAAACCTCAACTAGTTAAAGTGCTCCCTCATATGTACCGCAAAAGCAAAAAGAAAAGTCTCCCACAATTCTGTGGGAAGTAAAAGTAATGATTTCGCCCGGGCTCGAACCGGGGACCACAAGTGTGTTAGACTTGTGTGATAATAAACTACACCACGAAACCATTGATTAGAGGCTAACATCAAAATTATAAAAACTTTTTTTTCGATCAAGCGATAACAACAAAATTGAGCCCAAAAAAATTTTCCCGGTAGCCAATCCTGGGTTTACTTTAACTTGGCTTTCTCTAAAACAAAAACGAAAAACGAAAAGAAAAGAAAGAAAGAAGAAAAAAGAAACGCCCGAGACCAGACTTGAGCCAAAAAGTAAGATTCAACTTCCCCGGACAGGCTTGAACTGTCAACCTCTCGATGCCATGTGAATATAACAGTCGAACGCGCTAGCCAATTGCGCCACGGAGAAATCCGATGCGCACCTTACCCTTTTTGCTTTCTATAATTCACAACCTTCCTTACGCAGAATTAGTCAGAAATATCAATTCCGTATCCCCCAGAAAATTTCAATGACCGTCGCCTGAATTATTAACCTTGGTGTTTTTACGCTTGGTACCGGGCTGTTGTTACAGTAACGATGTCAATGTTCGGCATGACTTGATTGATTGAGTACTTCTTAATTAAACTGAATCCTACTTGTAGCGTCTCGTGCACGTAGCCAAATTTTCAATCGCAGCTTGTAAGATTAGCTAGCCGCTCCTGGCTCATTGTATTAGTAGAGCAAGAAGGTTCGCGCACCTGCTCATCTTCATTCTTTCTTGTATCATCGCTTCCTTTGTTTCAGGCACTCATAGGGGGTAGCTAGATATGGCTCTCTGCGGCAGAGAATTTTTGGATGCTTCAGCGGAGGTCTTATAAAATATGCAGGCGCTGAGAACCTATGTATGTAACTGACGCCAAAGACTTCTGTTGGGAACTTCGTAGCTACTTGTCTCCCTCGAATCGAGTACTGGATCCCTAATGTGATAATCTTAGGAGGCTTAGTATGTGCGAGGTAGATGAGGGTGAAGGTGGGATGGGGATGTTCGCGAGTCAATGGGTTAGTAGATGGTGGCCTAATGGTGGACGTTAGTGAGTCAAATTATATTAAACGCGTGAGCTCAAACCTAAGCATGAGATAGTGATGACAGAGTTTAACAGATTTATTCATGGGGTTGAAACAATATTAACTGAGACGTGTGTTGCAGTTACTTAGTATGTACATTGTCCAGAGAATCATTACGAGTACGTTCCTTTGCTCTCTTAGTGCTTACGTAGCCTATAACAACTTATAGCTTATCAATAAGTCATCTCCTTCGCTAAACATAATTTATTTTATGTGGTGCCGGTTATTATACATACTTTTGCAATAATTGTTCCCCCTCTCCTTTTTTTGTTGCGTGCACGACGTGATTTGGGGTCGAGTGATATGACGTGGTGGTAGGAACTGCGGGATAAACGTTAAGGGCTAGGGCCGGAAGGTCAACAAGGGGTACGGCACCCACGCATCGATCTACACATCTTACTCACAGTACCAAAAAACGGGGTGTTTTCTATACCGTAGTGCTGCGGTAGTAGTGCGGTATTTGTTAGAATGCCGCATTTTTGGGTTAATACGGAGATAATTCGGCATTCATTGGGCATTCATTGGGGCTAGGGTATTTGCAAGACTGCCGTAGAACTGCTGCAGCACTACCATTGGATAAGTTACTCCTACTAGGTGACAGATTACGCCCCCTACTAGTACTATGTCCACCCCCGCCAGCTAGGTAGCAGTTCAACACCATGATGTAGGTGTTCGACCATCGTCACGGTAGATAACCATTGTTGATGATCAGCTACAAGGAAAGTTATTACACAAACCACAGGCAGGACTAGGGCTGTACATATGATATATAGGTCCGGGAGAGAGAGAAAAAATATTTTTAAAAAGTATTCCCTAAATCTTTATCACCCGATGATAAAAAATCAGAATTGACTGAACTATGGATGAAATGAATTGTGGTGATGATAAATTCCGTGATGCTTCATGATAAAATAAACCCCGAGAAACTTTTTCTAGGTGTGCATCCAAATCTTGCATGTACATCTAAAAAAGCGGTAGCGGGAAATTAAACATTTAAGCTATGCGGTAGTAGTGCGGTATTTGAAATGAATACCACAGCAATACCAGCCCGCCGCCCTAAATACGCCGCCTATGCTATTGCTTATAAGAATACTACAAGAATACGGCTTCCAACCAAATGCCGCAGTCTCGCGGCACGAAAAACACCCCGTTTTTTATTACTGTACTAGCCCTATTACATATACTCTAGTGTTTAAGAAGCTTGATTCTGCACACGTATTTAGAAACGGTCAAGATTAAGAGATACGCACCCTCCCTCCCCCCCCGGGGGTCGAGTTGGAAGTAGTGATGTTATATCCCCTCCAATTGTGGATGTGATGTAATCTTTCAATTCGGATTTAGACCAAGAAGCGCTTCCGTTTGCCGGCGTTTTGTATTGAAGTAGATTCAACTTCATGATCAGGGAATAAACGTTCCCGGTGTTCAGCACAGCACAACTGCTTAGCTTTGCGCGGTTCCAATTCGAGCTAACCAGAAAGCATAGAACAAGCCATCTTCAAAACGTGCTTGTACTGTATTACCTGGATCCGATAGTGCTAGTTGTGTGGTGGCATTAACCACTTTCACCAGCGAAATTAGTACTGCATGATTACATAATCACGCCATGTCCGACCCGGCCTCCGCAGTAATCCTCGGAAGTGGTTGCGGTCCATTTCCGCCGCACTGGGGGCGTCGCCCTTGGCTCGCGAAAGCGGCTGGCTACCAGCATAAGAACCCAAGCCCTGAAACATAATACAATCCGGCTCGGACTGTAGCCGTACACCCCCCCCCCCCGTGGCCCCTATAAACTGGATAGGCTATTTTTTGCGTACCTGACGTTGCGCTGCATATCAAGACCAAGGAGGAATGGGGAAAGTACTCATCAACTTCCTCTTGAGCCCATCGCTCCACCAGCTCTCAGGTTTAGCTGCCTACAGCGACGTTGCACTAACCCTCCCCGCCCCCCCCCGCGCGGGGGGGGTTCGGCATATGACTGCGCGGGCGGGCAATCATGATATATCACTCGGTCGTGATGCCGCCAAGAGCGAGTGCGGATTTATGATTCTGCGAGACCGTGTAATTTCAGCAGATTACTGCAGAAATCCTGCCACATTGCAACCCAAGTTCTAAGTGATATCGCTAGAGATATTTCTCTGCATGTGCACAGCTCTTGATTGTTTTTAATGGTGGAAATCTCTGTAGCTGTAAAAAGAAGGCAAAAAAAAAAAAAAAAAAGGCGAGTTCTACAGCGACTAGCTAGCTGCGGCGCTCCAGCAGGACAAATGTCGTAGAACCCCCCCCCCCCCCCCCATGCAAATTACCACGATAGTTGTAGGTGCCGAGTCATCTTCGCCTCGCTGATTAAACCTTGCCCCCGTAACTAGAGCTGTTGAACCGCGCTGAGTATCACACAGAAGTCTCACGATGCAAACAATGAGATCAATTAACACAAGCTAGCGTAGTGCGCCAAAATATAGAAATATTTAGGGTTAGGGGCGGGTGTGCTCATTATGATCATGTGTCTCCGGCCTCATGAGAACTACAAAATGAGTGTCAATTCGTACTCTATGGTAGAGCGGCAACACCCTATATACATAGCCATAGAAATTGATTGTCTGTGCACCAAGAAGTCTTAGTTTATGGTTCTCTGATCGTTGACCGGCGAGTATTAATGGGATAGGAATATATATGTGGCGGTGTACTGGCTTGAATTAACCGCTACATGCATCAATTCTACTCGCGCGTCTATTGTAAGTCTTTTTTGTTTCCATATCAACGCATGCACGGTACGCCCCAAGATGGTGTATATCCAATATCCGGCCTCCTTTAGTCTTTCAGTGGAACTCTGGCTATAATTTAGCCAAAGATGTGGTTTTTGCTTGCAGATTCTGTTATCTTTTTATCAATTGACCTCATATATCAGAACTGCAATTAACTCTCAAAACTAATACAGATCTCAAAATACCCCCCGACCCCTCTTCTCTACTTGTGACGTCGGGTTTAGGGTCTTTGTTTCGATGTCTTTTTCTCTCTCCCGATTAGTTTTACCATGATATGAATTAACTGCGCTCAGGTATTATAGTTATATTAGTCGGGTTTTTGCCGGATAAATCAACATTGGTACCACATGCTTCGGATTTACCAGCTATAAGATGTTAAGACCCATAATATGCATGTCAAAAAAACAGTAGGGTTCAACTTATCGATATGTCGGAGCTTAGCATTTCTCATATTTCATGAATTGAAGTGGGGTACGGTAGCTGAAGATAGGATAAAAACAAGAGGGTAAATTATAAAGACAGTCTACTATAAGAAGAAGATATATGAGAACAGTCTAGTGAATTAAAGGAAGCTAGCTAGTACGATATGCAATGCTAGATTATATTAGTAGATAACGTTATAACATGATGTGTTATATGAGTAACACGGCGTCACGCATACAGTTAATTGAACGGAAAAAAAACACGCCGTTACGGACGGAGTCGGAACCAATATTTCCAGTGTGCTCCCCGAAACCCGTACCCGTATCCGATAATAGCTCCTATATACATAGCTATCGAATGATAGATCCCCCATATGCATACAAACCCCGACCCTCCAAGTAAGTAAGTGGGCATAAAACGAAACCAAGGAATAACGTTACTCCGCATATATAAAGCAGAGCGATTATGCACCACGTACGGAGATTTGCACTAACATGTATGTACGTTATATATATACGAACAAAAGAAGCTACATACATACATACTTGTACTTATCTACAGAAATTAATATGATCTGTCCTCTTAGAAGGGGGGGGGGGGGGGGTAAAGAAACGAAACAGATCTCCCCAATCAATGGCCCAATGGCTCCAAACCTTCGAGACGTACATACGTATCCTCTAACAGAAAGAAAAACAGCCATGTGCACTGGATCTTATCCTCCATTGTTCATCTGAAAATTAAAAATGCACTCATACCCCCATCGACACCCGCGTTCAAAGAACTCAAGGCCATAATCGCCAGGACAGAGTTAGCTTGCATTGCATACCAGCAGAATTTCAACCTTTGCTTTTTACCTCCCTCTCTCTCTCACTCTCTCACTCTGCTCTCTCTCTCTCTCTCTTTCTCGGCCTCGATCGATCGTATGTCTCAATCTAACCCGTTCAAGATTACCGGAGCCCAGATGGTGTGCTCTACGCATGAGGAGCAGAGCTAACTATGTAAGCTAAAGCTTAGACATCTTCACATGCTCCATTGCAACTCCAACCAACTAGTAGTTCCAATTCCAACTACATCTCAGAATGATCTAACGTACATGGCCTCCTCATCTTTGGATTATCTGCACTTCCTTTTTTCTTTGTGTTTCTTTCTTTTTTTTGTTTCCTTTGCAATTGATGGAGAGAGTGAGATGGTGACGAATTGACGTCGGTGTTTAATTCGATCTGGGAAAATTTTCTTCTCGTCAAGTCGACTCATACGGAGTAGGTACTAGTTGTTCTCTTGTGCCTACATGACAAACGAAAAGAAAGAAAGAAAGAAAAGAAAGAAAAGAAAGAAAAAAAGCTACTAGAACACCCTCCGTTCCAACGCCATAATTACGATCCGGACGAGTTAATCGTGATTCCCATATATATACATACATATATGTAACATGCTGTCTGTACATACTTGTATAATTTTGCGATCAATCACTTAACTATTTTTTTTCGCGCGACCGCACTTCGATTCCTGAATTAATCAATCCTTCGTATCATCATGATCAATTGCGCCATTGCAATTGCAAAAGAACGTTACTTTTTCCGTTGCACCCCATATATAAATTCCACAACGGTAGGCGTTTCATCATCACGCATGAAGTACCACATGTAACATGTACTCTACACATGTAGTTGTCGAGTAGTTGTGGGTGGGAAGGAAAGGGAAGGGGAAGGGAAGTGGAAGGGGAGGGAGCTTGGGCCAATTAATTGGCTGAGCTTAAACATCATTACATGATCAATTGCCATACTAATCCCCCCCAGCTAATCCACTTTCGTAAGGCCCATCCTACACCACCACTAACAAACATAAGGCAACAAACTCCTTTCCGCCAGAACCAGGGTCCACTCACTCACTCACTCACTCACTCACTCACTACATACTCTACCTACCTACCTATAACCGGAGAGAAGTTTTCCCCAGACACGCCGTACCCGTCCATCATTGGGCCAGTGGCGGCCGCGCTGGCTGGCAGTATGTACGCAGTACGTCCATCCGTCAGTCAAGTCAGTCAGACATGAGCTCAGATAACATGTACGTACCTAAGCTAGGAAAAACCAAAAAAAAAAAAAAAAAGAATCCCCACATCCATGTAAAAATTCACATGTGACAGTCCCCCCCCCCCCCCCCCCTCCGGCCCCTCCCCTCCCCTCCCCTCCCCTATTCCACCTACCTACCTACCTACCTACCTCCCCTCCGCCTCCACCCCCCCCCCCCCCGACCCCATCCCTCCATCCCCCATCTCTGCACAGCAGCCCAATCGACCCCGATCGGACGAGGACAGCCGTCCTGGCTAGCCAGCCCACCCGATAAGGATAAGCAAAAAAAACACACACCCAATACCCACCTCGCCTAACGATAATGCAGATAGCGAAACAACCTGGATACGAGAGAGCTCTAGAGAGAGGGCTCGATTGTGGGCAAGGGCAATCGGGGTCTGTGTACGTCTGGAATTTTTTTTTCGGTTTCGGCACGACACGACCGTTCATGCACACCCGGCCGTGTTCGGAAACTGGCCTGATGCAGGGTGCGTGTGGGGTCATGGGCGATCACTCGGTGTTGGCGCCCGGGGGGGGGGGAGAGGTTGGCACGTGATTGGCGGGGATGGGATTAGGGGTGAGGTGGGGGATAGGGGGCGTTGGGGAGGGAGGGAGAGGGAGGGAGAGGGAGGGGGGTGGGACTTTGCGAGGGTTTGATCATTTGGCTGACAGGGGGCGGTTTTGTGTTTGGCAACTAACTACAGAGGTTTTGATCAATTGAGTTGGAAAGATACCAAACCAAAGTCTACAATTCTTCAAGATTGATTGATACGTGATATTCATATATTCATACTTTCATCTCTATCAACAAGCGTACAACCATTTCAGCAAAAAAAAAAAAAAAAAAAAAAAAAGTACCACCCTCATAATCCTACATGATAAACGAAAGTAAAAGTAAAGACCCTAGCTAGCAATTCCAAACCTAAACAATCCTAAAAAAAAGAACAAGACCAATCCGCACCAAAAAAAAAAAAAAAAGAAGAATGAACAAAGACAAGAAAGAACCAAACCAAACAAACCCACAACTTTTCACCCCACAAACACCATCTCCCCCTCCTTCCCCGGCAGCCGTCCCCTGGCATACACATCCTTATGCTCCTCCCACAGCCTCCTCAACTCCGCCAAATACCGCTCCTGCAACTCCTCCACATCCCCATCCCTCGGACTCTCCATCTGCGCCCTCGGAAACACCGGCCGTCCAACAACCGTATTCACCTCCCTCCGATACGGCAGCAAGCCCACATCATAATTAAACACCCCGCGCGCATGGAACAGCGGAACCGTGAAACCCGCAACGCGCTTCACAAACATCTGCAGCCGCGCCACAACCCCGCCGCCGGCTGGGACCACCTGCTCGTAGAGCTCGTTCTCGCCGAACGAGAGCACGGGCACGAGGCCCGCGTTCTCGCGGATGGCGATCTTGAGGACGCCGCGGCGGCGTTTCACGACGAGGGCCATGCGGCCGGGATGGCTTCGAGGGATTCGCGCGCGCCACCGAGGACGATGGTGATGGCGCGGCCGCCGCCGGAGGGGGCGGTGTATTGCTGCTGGCTGCGGTGGGGGGCGGGGTGGAAGATGGGGAGGTGGAAGATGAGGCGCCACCAGGTCCATGGTTTCCACAGGGAGCATGAGGATGCGGGTGTTGAGTTGGGTGAGGAGGGGCGGGGGGCGGCCTCGCCGCGGAGCAGGGCCTCGCAGGAGCGGCGGGAGACGGACGCGAGGCCCATGAGGAGGAGAAAGTCTCTATAGAAGGGCACGCGGAAGTTTGAGTCGAGCGTCAGCAGGGTGTTTGTTATCCCCGGGAAGAGCGCCTCGAAGCCTGTTGTGTGCTCGGTGCAGAAGTGGCCAAAGGCGCCGTGGGAGATGATGCCGTGCGGGTGGTAGGTGAAGATGTAGTTCTTTGCCGGGTCGAGGGCGGTGGTGGCGTGTAGTTTGAGTGGGAAGTAGTCTGTGTAGAGGCGCCAGAGGGGCAGGCTGCGCAGGAAGGGGGAGCGCCGCCGTGGGGCGGACCCGTCGAGGTGGGCTTCGGAGAAGAGGCAGTAGAGCAGGTAGGGGAGCAGGATGGGCCATGTTAGTGGGATGGCGAGCAGGAACCAGAAGAGTGAGGTGTAGAGGGGAATGGTGAAGCCGTGGAGGAGGACGGCGGCGGTTTGGAGCCGGCGTTTCATGGGGACGTTCAGTGGGGCCATTCGGATTCTAATTGGCACCATTGTTAGAAAAAACCATACTGCTTCTCCCTTATCAATTGATACATACCCTGCATTCCTCTTGACCTTATCCCCGCCACTAATCACCACCACCTTCTTCTTCGGCTTCGGCTTCGCCGCCCTCTTCTCCTGATACCTCCTCACCACCTCCCCATCACTCTCCCTCTCCGACCCCGTGCCCATCTCGCCCGTCTTGACCAACCTACTCCCGCCACTCCTGCCACTCCCATCACTATCATAATTACTACTCACACTCCCGCCACTCGCACTCCCACCACCGCCAACATTACCGGCCGCAGTCGACGAGGAGGAGGCATTACTACCATACGCCGCACTCCTCCGCCTGCGGCTGGCGTTCACCTGCGCACTGTACAGCGCATCGTCGATGGCCGGCAGCGAGCGCTGCGGCGGCGGCTCGGCGAGCCCGATGGGCGACGGGCACGGGTCCTCCGCGTCGAAGAAGGACTGGTCGAGGATGAGGGAGCGGCTGGAGCGCGGGGAGATGCTGATGAGGGAGGAGACGCTGCCGTCGTCGGAGGCGGCGGAGGAGGGGGGGAATTTGGAGAGGTCGAAGAAGGCGGGTGAGGAGGAAGACATTGTGTCTGTCTGTCTGTGGTTGTAGTAGGCTTGAAAGCCGATGTCTAGCTGGCTGTCTGGCTGTCTGAAGGATGCAATTGGAGGAGGGGGGGGATGATTGATAGGTAGGTAGGTAGGTAGATACGGCTCAGCAGCTAGCTAGTCCACAGTCGACGCTCCCTGGCAGGGTGAGGAGAGGATTCTTTCCACAGGTATTTGTATATCGGGGCAAGGTGCAAGGTGCAAGGTTATTTTTTTCCTTCCCTTTCTCTTCGGGCTCGGTCGGAGCTGGGGCAGTGCGGTGCTGCCTCAGTGCGGAATGCTTGAGTGCTTGAGTGCTTGAGTGCTTGAGTGCTTGAGTGCTTGAGTGCTTAGTGAGTAAGTGAAGAGCAAGTGCAGCAATCACATGTGAAAGAAAAAAACCGGGAGTCGACAACAACCTTGCTGCTCGACGGGTAACCAAATGACGACACGCATCAGCTAGTGAGAGAGTGAGTGTGGTGTGAGTGTGTGTGTGTGTGTCTCGTCTCGTCTCTCACACACACACTCTCGAGCAGCAGTGCAGTGCCGTGCAGTGGGGCCAGGCCAGCTACTCTGCTCTCAACACTAGCACCAACACTCGCAGCCCGAATCCTAATAATAGCTAGCTAGCCGCGCACTAACCCTGACCCTGAGAGTGCTTGCCCCGGGTAGCCGTAGCCACCACGGACGGACCGCGCTCGTGGAGCTGGAGCTGATCCCCCCCCCCCCCCCGTATTCACGTGCTTTTGCTTTCGCTGCGTTTTCACTCACTCACTCACTCACTCACTCACTCACTCACTCAGCTAGCTAGCCAGCTCGACCGACTCAATCCCTCAATCCACAACAAACACAGATGTAGGTACATGTAGGAAGGAGGCCCTCTTCGCCCACAACACACTTATTTTTCTCTCTCTCAAGCATACCCATCCCATACCCATACCCATACCCATACCCATACCCATACCAGCAGCAGCAGCAGCAGCAGCAGCCCAGCTGAATTATATTACTCAAACCCCCCCATGGCCAAACTACCGAACAATCCCGAAACCCGTATGTGGAAAGAAAGAAAAGTAGCCCAAGTCTCCGTGCGCGCGCGCAAGGTGTAAATAATAAAAACGTTTTGTTTGTCGCCTCTGCACTGCTCAACGTAGAGTGCAGATTTGCCCCCCGGCAATGTAGGAGTAGAGTATGGCACGTACATGATATGCTGCGTACATACATGAGATAAGAAAACGGTCCAGAAACTGGCCAGGTAGAGCCGGTTAAATTACAAATAAAACAATCCATTTGCAGAGATTAAAAAAAAATGTACTCAACCTGGCCGCCCAGTAGTCGTTATCTTCAAACAGGAGTGTGTGCGGGCGCTGACGATATTCTGATTGGCCTTTTCCCTTTTCAGGGGAGGCATTGCAAGGGAAGGGAAGGAGCGCTGCTGCGGGTTCAGAACCGAGTGATCGTCCATGACACCCAATGGAGTGCAGATATCTTAAAATCGACTACATATGTTGTGTGCTAACGTTTTTTGATGATAATGCACTGGCTGGGCCTAAGGAGAGGGAGTGCTGCCGAGCTGAACCTGGCATTGGGGCCCTGGCAGCGTCGGTCTCGGAGTGGACGGTAGAGTTGTCCGTATAATTCTTATGCTTTCTACCTACAGAAGCAAGTTAGCAAGCAACGCAACGCATGCCGTCGTGTGTGGGGTACCTACATTTCTACTCGTAGCATAAACGACACCGACTCGTTTCGAAAACGGACCACCGGCCATCTCTTACCGAACTTTGCAAGCAAGAAAAAAAAAAAATCTCGTGTATGCAGCCCCAGTCCGTTTTAAAAACGTCAGTCACGTGGTGCCGAATCAATTCTCTTAAAACCCTTCCTCCCTCTTCCCCCTTCTCCCTTCGCCCGTTTTTCTTGTTTTTTCAAACCGTCTAGCTGCCTCCCCACACCGTACGTAGATCAACTATAATTTCTTTGTGCAAAACACGTATACGTGGGCATGAATTATGTGCGCACACAAACTATCACGGGGCGTCACTCGCCGCAGTTAACTGGCCGGCAGCCTTACAATTGTGCGGGGTTTCCTTGGAACTTCTGGGCTCCGCGGATCGATCATTCGCCGAGTGAGAGCGTGTGAGGATGTGTAACTAGCATACCGTTAATTCTCGCCAAATCCACTATCTCCGCATAGGTAAATGGTATGTCCGGACCAAAGAAATGGCAGCATCAGTAGGGTTTCTGCACATTCGCATGCCGAGCCTTCTTTTCTTTGGTCCGGACATACCATTTACCTATGCGGAGATAGTGGATTTGGCGAGAATTAACGGTACCAGACTGGAATGAATAATAACGTCTAGGGTATATTTCCTACCCTACCCCACACACACCACGCGCCGCGTGCAGAATCCGGAGAAGCAATTTTCCGGAATATCTCTTCACGTGCCGCATACCAGGACAACAGTTCAATGAACTTTTATCCCGCCCGTCCAGTTGATTCATGTGGGGACGCATCAACGTGGGGAAACGCATCAGGTAGAGTAGGCTACATAGAGTACGAGTCCTAATGTGCTGTGCTGTGCTTCTAGCCCAGTCCCCCCGGCCAATCAATTGACCAGGCAAAAATATAGGCTCAGGTAGAAAGGAACCCTTACTTTAGAGTACTTGTAGGCTAGGTTGAACTTGTATGTACCTACTCTAGAGTACTGTGCCATGCACTGGTTGAGATGACCTTATCTGAAAAAGTCTTTCCGGTCATGCATGACATGCAGCAGGGATATATCAAACAGACTCCTGATTGACCAACGAGGCCCAGGGGTTTACTGATTGGCGTTTTTGAACGTCGGATTGTACCTATACGCGAAATTCCCAGCTAGGTGAAAAAGCGGAAGGTGTGGTATCTACAGCAATATGAAATGTTGACATATGGCGGGAATTGTGCCAGAGTTGCAATGATAAAGACATCAACAGGACGTCTGGGTCTTAGTTAAGCCTTAATTGACGGGAAAGGCAGCATTGAGTATCCAGCTGCAGATGATATCGATATGGACAGAAACAAAAGAGAACCGTGCCTTTTGGAACTCTGCAAAACGTTCGATTTTTGGTCGCATTGTAGTTTTGATAAACAATCCTTTTTGAAAAAGCAGTGGGGTGATCATGTACATACGCAATTGGATTGTATCAAAACACCCGCCTCGCCCCGCCTCATCGGGCGGGAATGAATTGAAGTCCTGATCAGCAATGATATCAAAATCAGACATCAGGTCGTCGCTATCTTACATCCTGCATAATGTCAATTCAAGTATCATCATCTTGCCAATTGCAATGAAGCCATCTCTGCATTGATATAGCACTTTCGTATAGGTACCAGCGGCGCTCAATTCTAAATGTGATAAACGCAACATGTGTTTGAAACAATATCTCTGATATATGCTGCTAATGTGCCGGCTTCGGGATCTAGACCGCCTATTAATCAATGAATGGTAAGAATAATGATTCATTATAAACGCTTGAAACGAATATCTGGCCAGATATATGAGTTGAGTTATAAGCTGCCATATCATTTCTTACGATCCGTTATTTGTGACGAAGAACGGCAGCTAGTTATGGAGAATTGAGAATAATTCTCTGCCGAGGCGAACCAGGCCAAACTAATGATTTTAGCTCCGGCCCGCAATGTCGAATCTTTGAAATCGGCCCTAGACACGATGTGAGGCGGGATCAAACGGTAAAGAGCCTCTCCGCGGTCATGAACCATCTGAAAAGCCAGTTCATTTTTAGAATAGTCAGTAAAAGCAAACATATTTCAATCTCCCCGGCGGGGTGCAGCTAGCACATGCCGAGGCTGTAGGCCCGAGGAGTCTAGAGATGATAACACCGACGAATATCAGATAAGACTCTTAACGTCAAGCCAAGATTTCAGTTAAACACAAACATTTGGCTCAAGCCGGCAGTTGTACAAGTGTGAAACTAGACGCTTAGTCACTGTCAATAAGGTTCCTTGGCGCCTGGGATGTTTTGCAGATCTGGTCACACCACTAGCTGTGAACCCTTTTGCCAACAAGGCAATTATGAGCAGAGCCTCTCGTTGGGTACCCTTAATTATAAAGGTCAATCTGCCAGCGAACTATGTAAAAAATCTGTATTTGATAAACCTGTGCGGGCCTCCAGAGACAGGTGGGGTGTCGATCTACCCATGAGCCAGATGGACATGGGGATGCGCTTACTCACGAACAATCACTCGATCATAAAAGATCACTCTATCAAACACTCCCCACGTGCACCTAGGCAGTGTGGCGTGGAGGGTGGGAGTGATTGTGGCTCATGTATCAAGGAAGTTGCAAAGAATCCCCAGCTATAAGTAAAAGGTTGTCTTCAATTTCTCGTCAGAATTTAGACAAGGAATTAATGAGTCAACGAAAACAACAGTATATCACTTATAAGGAAACATGGTCGCCGCCGGAAATCTCACATTTAAAACCTGGTACGCCCTCAGCCTGCCCCTCTCTAGTTGATGACCGAGACTCTAGGCGATATCGCTAGTATAGAGGCTCGATTATTCTGTCTATGGTGGTTTCCCCATGCGTTATATATGTACTCAAGATTGTACTGCCAACCACATGTGTATAGTCGTGACATAAATTTCCAAGGCGATTTATGTTCCAATGGCTAAAGCGAAGATGAAATATTGGAAGACAAGGGAGAGGACTGATGCGTTGAGAAGACTGAGAAACGTTCTTTATACTTATTTGTTGCTTAGGGCCAGATCATTACACCACTTAAGCTCCCGCGGTTCTGCTATACGTAGCCTAGAGTTACGCATCCATCATTGCATCCTCCCCTTCAACCTACAAAGGACATAATACCATTCATAAGGATTAACAGCTTCGACGCCCCATCGTCAAGACTATTCTGGCGGGCTCTAGGCTAGCATGACCAGAGCTAGCACGGGAATTACGATATATGAGCTGGATGGTACAAATACACCTAGCTAGTAGTCTCGCAAACCAGCATCTCGTTTTATCTCTCCTCTCCTCGTCCGGCCTATTAGCTTACTAGACTGTATTTCTATGAGTGGTCGTGTTTTTGTGGATACATACGATTCTCATTAAAGTGGTATCTTCTTATATAGGGGTATCCCTCGCCAGTAATCATAGCCTTGGCCCCTCGTACGGAGGTTCAGCGGTAACCCGATATAGGGTTCAGCGAAGCCTCGCACAAGCACCGTTGTACCAAGAGAAGTCTTTATATCAATAGCTCCCACCTGTTTGTAGCCCCTCCTACCCTCTAGGTTGCCCTAATTTCCACAACATTTCTCTTTCTGACAAGAACCTAGTACTGTTCGTACTACTAGCAGGACCGTCTGTACGTTTGTCCTCTTTTGGAAAATATAGGAAACATAGACCTGAATTGGTTATCGCCTTTCGCGGAAAACGGCAGGCATATTCACTGCTGGTGAGTGTCTCATTATGAGAATGCAACTCCCGACCCCCGAGACCCCTTCAGAACCATCCAGAATGAGGTGCCGGAGCAATCCCGGAAACCAGCCGCAGTCAAGCCGAAAAATGAACGCATCTGTGGGTGGCTTGTGAGGCATTTGAATGAGTGGCTTGCCAACTGAATAAGACGTCAATTGGGTAGCTCTTGGACAAACGTGCATGTGATGAATTCATGGCCATGAGCTGTCATCCTGTCGGTGGCAGTGCCGGGGCCGTTCGGTCCTTGAGTTATCCATCAGTCTGGTAAAATACTGATCCCCAAAGTTGGTGCCAAGAGTGTGACTTTGCTGACAGATCTTGCTATCCTGTCAAATAATAGATTAATCCCTCTATTACAAGGGGTTTACTAATATTGATAGACAAAGTGATACTACGTATCGAGTGATATCTCATGTCGATAGATGGGGGAAAGAACATGGTCAACTTTAATATGTTCTCTCAGTACTAACTACTGGAGGTCATAGATGCTTAACTTTATTCGCGAATGCCAAGCGCCACAATCTGGTCCCCACGAGTCTGAATTAGTGGTCGGCATTTGAATCGCCGACAGACCAAGTAGTACTGGATACGGACAGTCCCCGCCAACGCCCGCGCCGGGGAAAGGCCCGGAGGCATTCTAGATCTTATTCTTATTGGGAATGTCATAGGATTTCGATCCAGGATATATGATATCCGTATGCATATGATAGGTCTTTTTTTTGAGGTTCTGCAAGTCAAGCTTTTCAGGGATTACATGTAGGGCGCAGGTAAGATGTTTTTTCTATGCAGGGGCAAGAATACCATATATTCCCTGACCCTTACACAGAACGTCTGAGTGGTTCTTTATCATAGTGCTCGATATTCTTCTCAATATATTTCGCTCAACACCGGGGGGAAACCAAGATACATGTCGTTCTACAGTACATATCAGCACACGTTCTCTGAACAATGCCTCTCTCTGTGCGACTCTGCGACGGTTATGGCGTATTGATGCCTGTCGATCATGTTGTGCAACGTCCGGGATCGCCTCACACCTCACGCGTTATTAAACTCGGGCTCTGCATACGGACTGCCAATTGCAACCCCACCTATCTAATTGCTATGATGTATTAGTTCATGTTACTACAGGCAGGTATCTACATGATCTCTCCAGGTACATGCTATGTACTTCTTGGCTCCCGTATCTGTTAACAGTAGTAGCTGATTGAGCTTCTAGAAATGTAGAGTTCGCTCTAATTAAAACCGAGAGCATCAAGGGCATCTGATATATGCCGGGCCCATCAGCACCGAGAATCCTCTGGCCTTTCTGTATTTCTCATAAACTATATATCCGTTCCTAGCCCGCCGCCAAATCCCACCACACAAGCAAGGCAGTCTCCCTCCCGGGTTGCGCGGGCAAAAGGACCCAACCGGCGAGTCACCCCACCCTGAATAGAGACTTTCACTTTGTCTTTGTACGAGCGTCAATCGTCTTCTCGCCCACAGGGAGTTATTGTTCCGATACCATATATGTTCGCTTAAAGCTTATGCATGTCACAACGGTGCCCGGTCCGCCACTTGTCCACCCCGCAATATCCAACCCGGACGGCCCATAAATTAAAGTCAATCGACAGGCACTAACCCGTGTTGGTGTTTTTATTAAGAAAACACCAAATTGGGGGCCTTTGTAGAGCAGACATTCCACGGCTGGTGCAACTATGGGCGATCATATAATTCAGCCGCCAGGGCTTCAACGGGCTGTAACTTCTCCGAGTGTCACAGTGACTCCGGACGCATCCGATCAAAGTTCCGAAGCCGCCCAGAATACGTTCGTGCGAGATATTCAGTACTGGCAAGCAAACCACCGGACAGATGGATCATTGCTTGTTTTCCTAGAGCTGGAGGAGGGAGGAGGAGAGCCAAAATGTCTATATTAAATGTCGAACCCGGCCGGATTTCTACTTCGATCTCCCACTGGTAGATACAACTCAAGGTCTACCTGCTGTGATCACCCTCTAGTTTCAAAGATGCTTTGGAAACTCACCTTAGTGACTCTTGCCTTGACAGGGTCCGCGCTCTGCAAGGACTCCTACAAGCTCCCGAGTCGTCTCTGGTATAATGGCTCCACCACCACCGTAAGCTCTCCCCCTTACTACCATGACCGTGAGTAAGACTAAGCCATAATACCAATCCAGTGGAACAACGCGCTCCCTTTTGGTAATGGCCGTCTTGGTGGCATGGTTTTCGCCATTGCCTCCAAAGAGCTCATTAGTCTCAACGAAGACTCCGTTTGGAGCGGCGGCCCCCTCGAGCGCATGAACCCCGCCTCTCTCGAGACCCTCCCGAAGGTGCGCGCCCTCCTTGATGCCGGAAATATCACCACAGCTGGATCAACGATGCTCAATGGGATGGCCGCTATCCCGACAGCGCCGAGGATGTATCAGCCGCTCGGCGACATCACGTTTGACTTTGGCCACTCGACAAATGTAACAGGGTATGAGCGCTGGTTGGACACGGATACGGGCACAATTGGCGTGGATTATACGTATGGCGGCGTGGTGTACACGAGGGAGTATATAGCGAGTCATCCGGCGGGTGTGCTGGGTTTCCGCTTTTCGGCGTCGAGGCCGAAGTCGATCTCGTTTTCGGCAGAGCTGTTTAGGAATGAGACGCAGGGCGAGATGACGAGATTGGTGGGCGAGGACTCATTGAATATGGGGGCGTTGATTGGTGGTGCAGGTGGTATCCTGTTTAACTCCACTGCAAAGTTCGAGATCAAGGGAGGTTGGTTATGCCCTAAACTCCATCCCCCCCCAGACTCTGAGATTTATATATTCATGATTATATATGCAGGAACCATTGCGGCCGGAAACAACACAAATATTGTAGTCACCAAAGCCGACGAAGTAATCGTCTGGTTCGCCTCCGAATCCTCGTACCGCTACACCACCCCCGCCACAAAGGTCGCCGAACGTCTTTCCGCCGTCTCAGGCAAATACGACTCCTTCAAGAAAGAGGCCATTGCTGATTACCAGAAGCTCCACCGCAGAGTGAGTCTTAATCTCGGCACCACTCCCGACTCCATCAAAAGGCTACCCACGGATGTCCGCCTCACTACTTTCAAAGCCGGCACGGCCGATCCTGAGCTTATAGCCCTTTATTTCCAATTCGGACGATTCATGCTCATTGCTTCCTCTCGTGAGGGCTCTCTCCCGGCAAATCTGCAAGGCATCTGGAACAATTTGTATACCCCTCCATGGGGTAGTAAGTTCACTGTCAATATCAACACAGAGATGAACTACTGGCCGGCCGAAGTCACGAACCTTGCAGAAACCCATAGCCCGCTCTTTGACCTGATGGAGGTGATGCGTCCTCGGGGCGAAAAGATTGCCAAAGGAATGTACAACTGCAGCGGATGGACTGCGCATCATAATACCGATCTTTGGGGTGATGCAGCCCCGGTCGATCGCGGAACTGGATACACTATATGGCCCATGAGTGCCGCCTGGCTCTCCTCGCACATCTTCGAGCACTACCGATTCAACGAAGACAAAGAGTTCCTGCGGGAAAAGCTACCAACTATCCACGGCGCCGTTAAGTTCTTCTTTGACTACCTGATTGAGCGCAATGGTAGCTACGTTACCAGTCCATCCACCTCCCCGGAAAACATCTATATCCTTCCCAACGGGCAAAAGGAGGCAGTCACCATTGGCGCAACAATGGACATGGAGATCCTGCGCGGACTCTTCTCGGACTTCATCGCCGCCAGCGAGATCCTCGGTGAGACCACTGATATCGAGCGGGCAAGGACGTATCATGACAAGCTCCTCCCTCTCCGCATCGGGCAGTACGGCCAGATCCAGGAATGGATGGAGGACTACCAGGAGAATGAGCCCGGGCACCGCCACGTTTCTCACCTGTGGGCCCTTTTCCCCGGAAACCAGATCACACCGCTGACGACACCTGTGTGGGCGACGGCCGCAAACGCGACTTTGCAGCGCAGGCTGGCGAATGGCGGTGCGGGGACTGGGTGGTCGCGGGCATGGACTATTAATTTCTTTGCAAGACTACATATGGGCGACACGGCATGGTTCCACATTGAGCAGATCATGAGAGGATCTACCCTCTCAAACATGTTTGACCTGCACCCGCCTTTCCAGGCCGATGGTAATTAAAAAAACTCCCTACCCCCAATCCCGCAAAAAGGAAACTAACATCCCACAGGAAACTACGGCAGCAGTGCCGGCATCGCCGAAACACTCCTCCAGAGCCACGCAGGGACGGTACACCTCATCCCCGCCATGTCATCAAACTACTCCACGGGTTCCGTGACCGGGCTTGTCGCGCGCGGAGGCTTTGTGGTTGATATCGAGTGGAAGGACCTGAAGCTGGTCAAGGCCAAGATCTTTTCCAGGTTGGGGAACCCGCTGAATGTCACTGTTGCAGATAGCGTGCCGTTTACCCTACAGTCTGAGGGGGGCACTGGGAAGGGCGCTGTTTATACAGTGCTGCCCGCGGCGTAAGGGGGCGAATGTGGTTGTAGTGGGTAAGGTTTTGGGATGTGGTAGCGGGATTTTCCGTGGGGTGTGGTTATTATCTCTTATCAATTAGGATCAATTGTCCATAGGGTACTAGTACTGTAGCTAGCTCATAGATAAGATTAAAGTTGAGACAATGATCATTACCGGTGCACTGCCACTGATATGCAATTATCCATCCCTATTTAGCAGTCATGTATCAGCAACGTAGTAGAATAGACGGATTATTAGGTGCAGTTTTCTTTCTAGGGTATGTACACACTTGCAGTACCGGTCAATTGTAGCATATTAGTAGTAGATTAGTACTGCTAGTACTAATATCGTATTACTCTAACGCATGTCGCGCTAACATATTTTCATCAACTCCGATTGGCCAATCCACTCCTGACCTGTTAGTGGCTGATACATCTAAGTACCCCTAATTAGGGACATGCTTGCCCTACTAGCAGTAGTATTGACATTATTAGTGATAGATAGCAAATGGGCATCGATCTAGTAAAACCATCCTCACATGTACAGTCAATTCCACCAAACCCCCTCTCCCCTACCCATAACTGATCAACCCGAGCTCGAGGGAGGAGCCCAGCAATTGGAGGCTACAGGTAGAATTACTTTACCAGATAAACATCATAAATGGTAGTAAAACCCAACTTTTATTTTTCATCCATACGTACTCATACTCAACACACACACACGCATAACAAAAAAAAAAAAAAAGCGGGGGAGGGCCCGGATGCTAAGGTGTAAGAAGAAAAGAAGAGAGAGAAAAAGTAAAGGAATTTTTTAAATCACCCCCCATCCTCTTCCCCACCCCTCCCTCAATCCTACCTACCCTAAGAAGAAACAGAGCACAAAAAATTTAAACTGTTGATCAATACGTACGTACGGCAAAAAAAGGGGGGGGAAATCAACAAGGTTCAATATAGAACGAAGAAAAGGGAAAAATAAAGAAAAGATGAAGCGCAAAGAGAAAAATAAAGAAGAAAAAAGAAGATCCATAATAGTCCCGTCCCCCCCGCCCCCTGCCCGCCCCTGCCCAGCGGCCACCTGGGATGCCATGCCGACCGGCCTCCAGCGCTTGAAAAACTTAGAACCAGAAGATTTCCTCCCAAAGATTGATCCCGACTCCGGAGAAGAGGGAATTGTAAAAAAATATCAATACCCTCTCCGAACCCCCAAAAATCCAAACCGTAAAAAGATCCTAGTTTGACCCCTGGCCTGTTGCCCCCGCCAGTGGGTTTGATGAAAGAAAAGAAAAGGAAATAAAAATAAAAACATTGGTAAAGGAATACGCAGTACTTTGTAGACGCACAAAAAAAAGGAAGATCTGAGAGAGGAAGAAAAAAGAAAAATATAAACTATAGGAAAGAGCTTCAAAAAATACACGCACTACCCCCTCCCTCAAGTCCCTTTTACCGGTTTTTCCCATTTTTCCTTTTACCTTTTCCCCCTGTCTTTCTTTTTCGTTTTTTTTCTGTCGTTCACATCGCCAGGCTGTCTTAGGTATAAAAAAAAGAATACGATAAAAAGAAAATCGTTTTTTGTTGTCGTTACCAGCTGCTGTCGTTAGAACAAGAGTGGATAGCTAAAAACAAAGCGCCATGGAAATATGAATGAAAGAAAAAAAGCCGACTGTTTTTCCCTGCGCCCGAAAATGGACGCAAAGATGACTTCCCAAAAGTACAATATCAAGCGAAGAATAGTATAGAAGCTGAAATGAGATACCAATGACAACACAAACGCCCTCTTCATTACCACATCTCTCCCCCTCCTCCTCTTTATGAGAACTTCCACGCCATTATCATGAGCTTGGTGCCGCCGGTTGCTGCTGTTGTCGTTGAGCTTGAGGCTGTTGGGGCGTTTGCTGATCCAACCTTTCCTCGAGCTGTTTTATCCTGTCCTCAAGGGTCTTGATGTACGTCCATAGCCCACCGTCTTGCCCAGCAAACATATTAGGATTGCTTTGCGGGCCGCTACCACCCATGTTGGCCTGAGGAGCAGGTCCGCTTCCCCCCGCGGCACCTTGTTGCTGGTGGGCGTTTTGCTGCTGCCCGGACGCAGGCGGGTGCGCCATGTGGTTGACGAACATACCATCACGTTCACGCTGCGGCGCTGGTAGAGGGTTCGTGTAGGTGAAACTAGGTGTTCTGTCCCTGGGCATCCCTTCAGGCTGACTTGGTAGCATTCCTGGACTAACCGCTCGGGGGCTGTCCGTCAAGACATTCTGGGGACTTAGAATACTTGTGTTTGCAGAATTCGTAGCAGCAGGACTTGTAGCGGTGGTAGAGTTCATATTGGTGTTTTGCATGCTAGGAGTAGCACTTGTTGGCGTCGCCGACTTGAATCCATGTGCAGCATAGCCAGGTGGGAAGAGTCCTGGACTTGGCCCACTGGCTGAAGCTGTTCGAGCTCCAGATGAGAGCTGTGGATACGTGTTGTTGTGACTTCGGTACCCAGAAGCTGGTGTCATTGGAGTGTGCTGTCCCATTTGGTGGCCTACTTGTTGATGGCCAGGGTGGAAGTCAGTCTTGATGCTTGGAAGACTCGCCCGCCTTCTGGGACCCCCATCAGAACCCTCTCCGCCGTTTTCATCCATCATGGACACATCACCATCACCCTCATCAATAAGTCCTTCAAGACCCTCCATTCCATCGTCGCCGTCTTGCCCTAGCCCGGTAACCATTGTTCCGTCTTCATTCATCATGCCGCCCATGCTACCTCTCCTCCCAGCACAACCTCCTTCGCCGCGGGCATGTCGAGCCAAGGCGTCTCCTCGAGCGAATCGCCTTCCACACTTTCCACAAACATGTGGCCTCTCTCCTGTGTGCAACTTTGTGTGTCGTTTAAGATCGTGGAGTCTTCGGAAGCGTGAATTACATGTCGTGCAAAGGAAGGGCTTTTCGTGTGCATGCGTCAGAAGATGGCTCTTGAGGTTGTGGTGTCTAGTGAAGGTCTTATGGCAATGAGGACATGTGTGTTTCCCTCGTGTGCCGCCTGGATTATTAGGGCTAAATGGCGTAGTGGGCGTTGTTGCGGTACCAAACCCAGGAGTGGTTGGGGTAGTCGCCGTAAGGGGCTCTGTGAGTTTGGGCGGTTGTGGCTGCAGAGTGTGATATTGACTCATATCTGAGGGAAGTAGAGCAGGATCCGTGGTATTAGGGCCTGCAGTAACGGTTCCGGCACTTCCGTCAACAGTTGTACCATTAGACACCAAGCCACTTGACGTTGCAGGCGAACTACCAGACGTGTCCATAGCAGCAGCAGCTGCTGCAACACTTGGCAAGCCACCTAACCCGGAAGGAACTGGAGAAGGTTCTTTTGGAGGTGCATCGGCGGGCGTGCTCATTCCGAGATTTGTTGTAAAGATTGAGGCCGGGTTTGGCGACTGCTTAACTGCCTGCGATCCATCGGTCTTTTTGTCATCGAGAGGCATAGTTCGAGGACTTCGGCTCTGCTGTCTATTTGATAATGCCGCTGCTCCGGTAAGTGTGGTGTGTGGGGTAAGACTCGGAAGTTTTGAGGCTAGCAATGGAGGCAGGTTTGCAGCAGCTTTGGGTGATACCGGAGTGGTGGCAAGAGCAGCAGCGGCTGTAGATGCTGCTGTGGAGGTTGGATTGGTTTTACGAGATGCTTCAAGGGTCGTTCCGTTAGTTGCTACTGGTACTGAAGCGTATTGCGACGATGCCATAACAAGTAATATGCCTTGAAGACGTAAATGATCTATAGATGATCAGCGTCCAGTACCACAATCTCGGTTTGTAAATAAACACAGAAGAAAGGCATCAATGAAAGATATCTGAAACGTTAAGAGAGGATAAACGCGCTGGTGCCTGAGTAGGAACGCTTGGCTAACTAAGAAATGAAGATCAAACAAGATCTGCGCCACACAAACTGCAGAGATATCGCGCAAGGAGTAATGAACAAAAAAGAGGCGTATCCCCTACCTATTAAGTATTCTTTTCGTCAACGCCAGTTGATCCTTCTCAGCCCTAAACAAATGTGTAACACACAAATATTGCGTAGGTGGCACAGGGCGACAATTGCGTAACCTAAGCAAATTGGGGAGCCCTTTTCTGTTCCTGGGGCGGGAATTAGTAGTTCCAAAGGAAATACCGAGCCTCGTCTGATTTTTCCCTTTTTCCTTTCTTGGCTATATCAGAGGCACAAGAATGTGTTCGTCTATCGTTGGAGCGAGTTAATTTTAGCCTGTCTTGAGATATTTCAGGCTTCCCGGAAACTAACCAATCAATGCGTTTTTCTAGGGCCCAGAAATCAACGTCAAGAGAAAACAAAGAAAAAGTATTTGACCAAGAAAATAGTTCCCCGTTCCCTGTATTGTTCCACCTGCTTGCTGGGAAGAATTGAAGGGATAACCTTTCTCTTCGTTTCTTTTTTTTCGAAAGATAAAAAAGACCAATGCGAGTTGCTATCCAGAGATCTCAAGGATATCTAAGCTTAGAATTTGTCTCGGGGGGAGGGTAAAGAGTGATCCTCTCCTCAGCCTTTCCTAGGTTCAGTGGCGCGTTGTTGATAAAAAGAATGCAATTGGTCGGTATAGAGTGGATAGATAAATATAACCGCAACCTAGCCCCAAAGGCTCCAAGTAATCGATAGCCACCGTAAACAGGGATCAAGGCAGCAGAGCAGAGAGAAGCTGAGCCGAGCTCTGTTTCCCCTTAACAAAAATATTATAAAGGGAAAGTAAGAATGAACTGCCGTGTAATTTCGTCGTAGCGTTCTAGAATCAACTTTAAATCTTTCATCTGTCAGCCTGATGTCTCTCCCATCTAATGTTGTTTTCGAAAGCAGCGTATTAGATAAACATCTTCTCCCCCTCCCTTCTCCTCGTGACATGATTAATCGGCAAAGCCTAATAAAGCAAAAGAGAAAGATGGGTGCATAGTAGAACAACTTTATGAGCAACGGATGCACATGGCCGATGTGCGATAGGGTCAACAAGTGTAATGGAATGCAAAATGACTCCGTTCATGACCCCCGGAAGCATATAAGGCAGAATAAGAAAGTAAAAAAATATTAAAGCACAAAAATAAGCACTAATGGGGATGGTACGAAAAACGATAATCTGGAGAAAGCTGGGGTAGGAGGAGACATGAGATTCGCAACGATAAGAAATTGATGCAATCCTGAGACGCGAAAATCACAGGAGTATGCAAGAGTGGTAGGGTGAGGCGCATTCGTCTGCATGTGGATGGACCGTTTCCCACAACCCACCTTTTCTCTCGTCGGGGAGGGGGGGCTGAAAGCTGAATAAACACACGGAGGAACGAACCCACCTTTACTGACGTAGGAAGCTTTATTTGAGAAACAAGAAGAAAAAAAAAGCAATACCGTTTGTATTGCGCGTAATAATTCGTCCGTTTATTTCAATTATGTAAATTCAAATATGCTGTCGTTTGAGGGAGGTAGGAGACCTCGGTTTCCTTCTTTTGGAATGCTGCTATCGTGAGAGGTAGAGGAGCGGGAAGTGGTGCATCCTCTGGATAGAACTCGAGATACAACGAGAACGGGTAACTGTTGCGACAACAGTGGAAGCAAGAGGCAGACAAGGCGACAAGCGTCTATAGATCGGGATACGCGTATAGCCTCCCGATAAAAGCTTGATCGCTGAACCAGAACCCGTTAGCAAGAAGAACCACAGATTTTGAGACGGACCGATAACTTTGAAACTCGGTGGAGGGGTGTTGAAAGGCAGTTCAATCGGTACCGTGCAGAGGGGGGGTGGGTTGAGTCGAGGCGACTAACTGTGGGAAAAACTGCGCGCAGAAGGGGAATAATACCTGCGTAGACTGTATACGGGAAGCGTGAAGATTCGCGTTCAATTCAGTTCTTGACAATAGAGTTTGTTCGAGCGTTGGGTTTGTGAGTGTGGCTTCTCCGTTCTGCTTCGCAACAATCATCAGCCTTCCTCAGCCTTGCTTTGGGAGTTTGGGGTCATCCAGCCAGCCACCGCCATGTAGCCTGGCACGCTCGCTGCTTGGTCCTATTTCCGACAAGTGGATGGGGCAGATCGATGGCTGTGCCTGCCTCATTCTGTAGTGGGGCTGACCTGGCCGCCCGTCCGCCGGCCAACGACAAAAAGATTTTTTTCATTGGGGGGGTAGCACCAACCTTTTTTTTTTTCTTTCTTTCCCTTCTCTGTAATTCTTTTTTATGTTTATGCCACTGTAGCCACCAAGCAAGGGAGTTTCAAAGTGGATGGGAGAATAAAATAATAGTAGAGTGAGGCTAAAATTTAATCGAGACGAGTAAGTAAGTGTGCTATTATTTTATGCTTCTGATGGATGGGTAAAATAGAGTCGATGAGATGGCAATTGTGTATAGGCGAATTCAGAAGGGCGGGGGGGAGGGATAAATGTTGGAGAATCTTTTGTGCTTGTGCTGCTGCTGCCGCTGCTGCGTCTGTCTTGCTTTGCTTGCTTCCTGCCTCCTGCTTGGATGATTTCTCTCTCTCTCCCCTCTTGAACGGATTGGATGGGGAGGATTGGATGGGTGATGCCGCTGCTCTGCTTTACTTTCCTGACTTGCTTGAAGTTCTCTCTCTGCTGCTTGCTGGCTGTTGTTCCTTTCGATGAAATGATGGACACTTAATTCTCCCTCCCGGTCACGGTATTTGTCTCACTCGCACACGCACCAGTTTTTCGCTAACTCACTCTTGTGTTTTTTTTGCTCAATGGCGTTCCCTCCTCTGATCTGATTCTTGTTCGCGAAACACACACTCTCTAGTGCCGAATCCCAGTGTTTTCATTCAAACGTGATCTTGCAGATCTTGACAACTTTCTCACGAAACACTAGCAACCGTGGTAGGGTTCCGAGGTTGGGTTGATGACGATTGCCGGCGGGTGGTAGCAACAACGAAATTCAGGGTGAGCCTGAAGTGGAAGAAAGAGGCGGTGGTGGTTGAGCTGATGAGGCGATGGAGGCTGCTGTGCTGCTCGAGGGAAGGAGGGAAATGGACTCGCAGGGTGGTCGGGTGGCGAAGTCACTTGAGAGTGAAAAAAAGCAAGGAAGCCAGCGTGCGCATTACCTCAGCACATATATCGGCGTACAATCCAGTACGACCCCGTACAACAGAGCTCAACCCAATCGAGCAGCCATGTCGCCCAATCCGGTTAATTAAAGAGCCCAATCGTCAGGGCACCTTGCGGGATAAGGTCAAGTCTGCTGCCGGCGTCCGTTCCGATGACGGTACTGGGCCTGAAAAGGTAATCTGCGTCATGGGCCATTCGGGTGAATTGTCCCTCTCCGGATGACTGATTCCTAATCCGTGGAACACAACTATTTACGCACCAATCCGTTTCTGTCAAGTTTAGTTACCGCTAAATCTCGAGTTATTCGGGGGGTTGCCAAGGCAAAAAGCTGAGGTTCTTCACCTTTAGAGGCAGAGATCTTCAATAAAACAGCCCTCTTCTGCAGGATCTAAACTAATTGTAGTTTAGCAGCTGAGCTTGGCAACCCCCCGAATAACTCGAGATTTAGCGGTACCTTTGGAGGGGGTACAGTAGAGTGCTCACCAGCCCCCTGTTGTGCCTTTATTCCTCTTCTTTCTTACTTTACGCCTGGCGCCTCAGAAACCCAACATTTTGCGGTGGCTTTGGTGGCTGCCACACCACCCACTGGTACGCACACCAGCCGCCCGGGGTGTGGTGTGAGCTGTTGGTCTGACGTCGAATCTTTTTGGTTCGGTGTCAACACAGCCTCTACTCCCTCGTGACACCAACAACAACCGATTTCTTTCTCATGCCTTCCGAAAGACAGAACTTCAGAAAATCTCACTGCATATGTGGTCAAAGTAGGAAAGAAGAAGCGACAGGAGAGATATACAGCAGAAATACCTTATGTAAGATATCTCTCTCTCGACCGCCGACGTCAAGCTCAAAGCTCCTGGCTAGTTGGCTGAGTCTACCTACACCTACCTGCTGTAAATCATTCACACCCCCTCCAATACCGAGATGCCTCGCTTAAATCTTAAAGCAACAGATCCCTTACCCGTGATTTTCACACCATGGGTCAAAACTTTCAACTTGCAGATACGCTGCCTGACATAACCACGTAATGGATGCATACACTAACTCCCCCCGTACCCACTTACCAGCCTGCCACTGTAGAATAGATACCGTGGAGAGATAAACACCCACACTCACTCTCTCCCCCCTTCCTGAAATTGGCTAGCTTCCAGAGATCAAAATTACTTGTATGGGAAACTTCTGATGCAGATCGATGCCATTCAACCAATCACTCGAGTGATAATCCCTAGCCGGAGATAGCCAATTTTTCGAGTTTTGGCGGTAGTAGTAGCTGTCTACCTGCGTACCTTCCCTACACACACACATGTAAGATAAACAGGTACCGTGCGGTCCGTACCGGTTGTAGTTGAATTGCTATCCACGGATAATTATCCATGTGCATACACGAAGGCTCGGCGATTTGATCCGAGGAGACGTATTCACATCCCCTCCTCAATTCCCCTGAGGATGCCCCAAGCGTTTGGGAACGATGGAGAGGACATATCCAGCTCCCCTCCAGATCAGATATGAAATTCTGCCAGTACCTACTTACATAGCACTGCAATTAAACCACCACCACTATCGTGATTGAACATACCCCTCCACTCCATTCCACTCCACATTCCCCTATCGATCAGTCGCTAACTTTAATTCAACGACGTCCGACTCCTTCCTCCATCCCCCTCCACCCTAGCCGTCGACCCTAACCCTACACAGCTAGGTACGCTACTACTACTGCAAGCATATCGATCGTGAAATTTAAAATTACGAGAGGAGGTCCCCCCGTGTCACCGCCCAGCACGCACGCGAGGGTGGTTCCCAAGATACACGATCGTGTATGACAAATTTAGAACCGACTGGTCTATTTCTGGAACATGTTTTTTCCGGGGGTCGCGTGGGGAGGGGAGGGGGAGGAGGGGGACGTGCGCCTCCATTATTACCTATGTATGTAATATGGTGGACGAATCATGGGAAAGAGGATTTCAACATGACAGGTATCTAGATAGAGTTTTGCTTGTCCAGGTGAAAAAAACGATATGGGGGGAAAAGCCACATATGTGGTGGTGGTGGTCAGCGGTTGTAAGGTGGCGATATGTAGATGCGCGGTTGTTCGATTTGAGAGGGAGGCGGAAACGAGTGATACCTGGTGACTCACAGCTTGTGTGTTTCGTGGTCAGTGCGTATTTGGAATCGGATAAATGGATTAGTATCGAGGTTTGCAGTAGCAGCAGCTAGCAGCCACCGTAGAGTCTATTCCGACTTCCTAACTACACTTCATCCCACACGATCTATCGCACTCTAGGGAGTTCCCGCATCACGAACCAACACTCGGGCTAGCTCTAGACCACGATCGTTATACCCCGCACTTTGAAAGCCGTAGTTCACGATAGACGAGTCAGCATCTGCAGAAGTACAATTCTGCTTTTTAAACGCCAAAGGAAGCTCAATTGAAGCACCCCTAAGGGAGATGAAAGGATCGATTGTGGAGTAAGAGTACGAGCCTGAGTTTCATCGTATCACAATATCGTGCTTGACTAATTAAAGCCAAACTTTAACGGCTCTGATATCTACATAAGAGTGGCGATATATTTCAAGGGTCGTGTCAGAAGGATGGTAAGACTTATAGCTTAGCCAACCAGGTATGTAGTCAACCCTAGGCAACAACATGATGACTTTGGAAGGATTTGATTCCTAGTTGTTAGAGGAGGATATTATGAAAGTGAGATCTAGAAGAGCTTGTAAGAATATTAGGCCAGTCGCGCGAGGTGAGTTGGATTAATCGCCATGGCCACTCTGAATTATTCGGTCTCAGCGTATCATCACCCAGCTCTGATCGCACTCATTTCTGCACTTCTGAGTAATTTTTGAACTCATCTACCTCTCCCCAACGCGCGGGCTCCCTTGTGCCTTGTACATAGCTAGCTTATAGGCTTTTATATAATCTCATCAACGTTTATTTCATGAACGGAAGCTTATAGCAGTAAGCGCCTAGTAAAGCAAGTAACCTGAGTGAATGAATGAGTATAAATGTGCACTTTGGGCCAAACTCACATTCCTGTTGTTATTTGTTGTTCGGGGCCTAGTGCTAGGGCTGAGATTCGGTAGCTCCGACTGTTTTTTTTTTAAACGTTTAGAATACTCTACTTGGATCGGCATGGGTTCCGGGTCCGCAGATGACAGTGTCTCCGATACGTGGATAGGTAGCAGGACGTGCAAAGGGTTGTGTAAGAGTGAACGATAATAACTCTAGTACGTTAATGAATGCATCAGATGTACCGTATCGCCATGATAAGATCGGGGAAAAGACAAGTGATGCACCTTTTCTGACGGAAATTTCTCCGGAATACACCTTATTGACCACTCTCGGAAGCCTTTATGTCAAGTACGCATTTCGAATGCCTTTTCTGGCACGTTATAGGAACATTAATTATAGACGGGATTTGATAAGTGACATGATTGGATAATGGATACTTTCAAGCTTAAGTAAGTAGTTAGCGCTTTACCTCAGATGGAATCGAATGGCAGTGTAGATGTCAGTCACATGGGCGCGCCAGGAAACAATACAAGACCTAATCGTTCGAACTAGCTAGATACATCGAAAAGCACATGCTCCTGATCCACACACTTATTAAGCGCCCCAGAGTAGAGATGGGCATAGGAATTAAAGGTTGATATCTATGGTTACCTGGGTGCTTGCTGTGAAGCTGTTATAGTAGCTAGCCCTGTTACTATTAGTTCCATGAGGTTCGAATGACCGCAAAGTGTTTCGATTTCGGCAGGCGCGAGACATTGGTGTGCATTGCATGTATTGTAGATCAATCAAGTCCCATATCCAGGCCTGGTACATTCTGCATGTTCCAGCACCGAGGTGGAGACTATCTGGTTTGAACCGCCCCCCCGCTTTTGCAATATCATTGGCTAGCGCTCTAGCTCATTTGTTTCTTTATTTAGATACCGGTTGTGATGATAGAAGGCCTATCAGGTCAGATTTCAGTCCATGAATGCCAGCCAGGCGGTGATAAGGAAGTGGATTTGGTCTTTGAAGGGTTAAATTAACCTGCAGCTGGCATTTTGAAGCTACTCGGGTCCTCTAATTATTCGCCATAGCTATTTCAGTTAGCTGTAAAGGGTCTTTAGAAGTTTAAAGCTTGCGGGGAATGAATCTCAGCGATAACGAAAGACGGGACCCGAGATGGATGCTGGGAGGAGGAGAATTGACCGGGATGAGCGATTAGCAGCTCAAGCTTAGAGGTGCTGCATACATACTGGAGGGTTTATGGGGGGAAATTATGTAGGGGAAGGCATAGGTATTGTGGGGTGACAAAAGTTCTCGTGATTTTCGTATAACAACCAGCAGAAATTACCTAAAAGACTAATCCGCAAAGTCAGTAATCGGGATTCATACATAGGAGATATTTTCTATCAATATTCAGCTCTCCGACCATGTTGGTATCTTCATTATATCTTTTGTGGTCGTGGGGTTATAGTCGTTTCATGGCCCGTCCTCGTACAGAATCATGAGAACTTTTATCACCCATGCAAATAATACATATTAGATTGTTCCAGGTATGTATTATGTACTTCGAAAAACCTATACGTTTGGCTAGCCGTTGCGAATTAACTTCAGCATAGCAGCACAGGTGCATAGCTTGGTATACAGCATCTGGTGGTGGTGGTACCGTTAGTGTTGAAGACTGTGCCTTTTCTTTTTCTTTTTCTTGCTTTGACCCATATATAGATTCAATCTGAAATCACGATTCCGGCTGTTACTATTAGTATACTCCGTATGCAGGACCCATCATTTGTTAGATACCGCTCGATTAAGTCCCTACCTCGGGAGAAAATGCATCAGGAAATTTCGGGATGCATCCTGCCATAGTAATGTTTAATTCGGGAAGCATCAAGGGATACCTTTTTTGATACCTTTTTTTGATGCCTTTTCCGAGATGCCTTTTTGGATACCTTTATGACGACTTTGTGGTGACTTTCAGGTGACAAACTGGCTAGTATAACCGCAGATTTTGAAGAGTTAATGATACTACTTGTACATGTATGTCTATCTATCAGAAAAAACCAAAGTTTATTGGTTAACTAAAGAATAGACGGTTCCCCTGGCCACCCGGACACGGGCAGTTAACGTAAAAAAGAGAGGATCAAACGTTTTAAGTACTTGGCTTTTGTACCTCTCGTACGCCCACCAATCATCATTGAGTCGACCGTCCGAGTGAGGGGGGTGGGGTGTCCGAGTGGCTAGCTAGGGAAGTCGTCTAGTACCAACCGCGATTTTCAAATTTCGATATAATCTTGGAGTTCTATATTACACCATTGCCTATTAACTACCGGCCACAATCACAAACTCAGTCAAATACACCCCTCGCACACAACAACGGCCATACCCAGCTCCCAGCCCCAGCCTGCAATACTTCCGGCCCCGTGAAGCTCTACAGTATCAAAAAGAGGGATGTTCTCAGTACGGCAGTGATATTTTATTTGAGATCGTACTGTAATCTGACCGCTTTGAATTCAATACCGCACTTTCAAAAATGATGTATTTTCTTTTGTGCAGACTTATTGCAAGCCCATATTAGTATTGATTTATTAAAAAGATAATATTTTGCTAAAGGTGGTTTTTTTTTTAGTATAATCTTTGGTTCAATGCAGTAGTAGTGCAGCATTCTCAACAATGCGTATTCAGTATAGGCTGGCACTACTACTGTAGTGCATTAGTACGGTCACTGCAATTTCTATCTCACCCATCTGACTAGTGACAGCTTGGACACTTCTAGGTCATGGAAATAGATTTAGCAGGTGCTTCATATCATGAGGTTCCCGAGATTTTGCACATCACGGTGATAAAGGCGCTGGATTTGATGACTTGATAAGTCGGAATTTCACCAACCGTTCTCCTGGTCATCTGCTGTGGGTGGGTTACTGTGTGTATGCCGTATCAGACATGACGGCCTACTAGCTCAGGCCGTTACCTACATTTATGCAGTGGGTTGCTATGTGTATGCCTTAGTAGACCGTTCTAGTTGTACATGGCCGTGACCTACTAGATTTTACGTATGCAGCTGACCCGCCGGGGGTAATAAGTCACAGCTTGCCTAGTATTAGGTTCTGTAGTCATCTAGTAGCACTACCGCATTCTTGAGAATATTATCATAACTAGAAGGCCAATACACTACCATAGTACGACAGTCTGTATCAAACAACGTATTGATGATGATTGTAGCATCTATACTGGATTCCCAACACCTACTATAATTCTAAAAATGCGGACCTATATCAGCATCAAATTACAATACCGCATTGAGCCTGAGTACAACACTAGTGCTGTCTCGCTACAGCACCAAGAACACTATGATTTTTGGTATTGTAGTTCTGTCAACGGTACTACTAATATAACTTAGATGCATGGACAATTAAACATCAGAAATGGATACCATACCAGGTCTTTAATTTTGCGTCGTGGTTTTTGGGTTGGCAGGAGTGTAGCGTTTCCATGCATCACGATGTGCACAGTCTAGTCTAGCTAGAGATGCCATCTCTGTATGCGTGTAGTTAGGTTTTGATCCTCCCTTCCCTACGTCGTAAGAGTATAGCACCAGCAGAGGGATTATTGTCGCTGTGCACTAAGTCAAAGAGGCCTGGTCATGAGCTTGGCAAAGGTGAGTGATTTCCCATGACGCAAACAAATATATTATAATACAACCACCCACCACCCACTCAGTACCACAAGTGATTTTCTAGAACCTGCAGCTGGTATCGTAGGTTCCACTGACACTGGAGTTATTTCAATATCGATAAATGAAATTTTACCTATAGGACGAGTATGTATGTTACGAGTGCGAGTGCCGTATAGACCGGAGATATATATAGAGTAGGTACTTGTACTTGTAGTTTAATATATTCCCTTAGTATTCGGTAGCGGATATTCCATACCTACTGCAAACCCAGACTCTCAGACTCCGGACCCACAGAGCAGCCCACGAGTAAACAAGCACGCCAAGCACGGGCGCTATCTGATTTTCACTGCATCCGAGCCCGCGCGCAGGGTTAGGGCTGACCATTACATACGCGTTTCAACCCCTGTTCCAGCAGGATGCGCCATTCACTCTGAACTCACTCACTTCACTTCACCGGACTCGTAGTAGTAGTAGGGAGGTGGTGATTCAATCGTGCGCTTTTTTCTACAACCCATCCCCAACCGTCACCTTTTCCCAGAATCACTCTATCACAATAACCCAGCCGGCTCTGGTTTCCAACTATTTATAAACACACAACAATCATCAATGTCCTCCTCGTCTTCCCTCCCACCAGTGCTGACGCCGCGCTTCCGCCCGCACGCCGAAGAAGAGCCGTTTCTCCCGCGCTACACAGAGGACTCTGAGCCAGCGCGGCTGTTCCTGAAGAAGCGCACGTGGCTCACCCGCGGGCGGGTTATCCTGCTGAGCGCACTGCTGTCGCTGCTGGTATGGGGGCTGATCGTGGTCGTGCCGGAGATCTTGGACCCGACGCCGGTGGTGGTGCCGGTGGTTGATTTCGAGAGCGTGAGGAATGTGAATGCGACGCTAATTCCGGGCGGGAAGGGGAAGTGGACGGTAAGGATTCCGAGGGGGATTCAGGAGCCATTGAGGCCGCGGGTGTATGCGGGTATATGTAGGTCGGTGCATGACGTTGCGGGACATGTGCATCGGGGGTATTACTCGTTTGATGAGAAGTTCGTTGATCCGGCGAAGAGCGGGGAAAAAGTGGTAGTGGAGAAGGGGGTGGAGGTCTGTGATGCGAGCTTGACATATATGCTTGAGTCGAAGAATGCAGGGTTTGGAGTTGCGCTGATGGGGCTGTGGAGCGCATATGGGCTTGCAAAGAAGGAGGGGAGGAGCTTCTTTATCAACGACCGTGACTGGTATGTCCTCCCCTCCCTATCCTCATCTTTTGGCCTATCTGCCTAGATTCTGACATTGAAAAAACGTAGGGCATGGGGCGCATACACTTCCTTCTTCCTGCAGATGCCGCGACCAAAATGCGCACCTCCACCACCGCATTGGATGCTTCCGTGTCCGCATTCAGCAAAGCACCTCGTAGTCGCCGCCTCCACACACACCTACATCTTCGGCCACAGCTTCAACGATGAGTTTGAAGATGCGCGCCAAATGGGAGTGCTGCGCCAGTCCAAGATCTTTGATTTCGTCCGTGAGGGCTACGAAGCGCTGTTCCGGCTAGGTCTTCTCCCAGAGGACCAAGATTTCGTGGAAGTCCGCAAAAAGAAGCTTATTGGCCCCGTGATGAGTGTGCACATCAGAAGAGGCGATAAAAAGGCGCTAGCGTGGGAGTATGTAAAGACAGATGACGGGTTCGTGCCACCAAAGAAGTATGTGGAGGCCGCATTGGAGATGCGCGGGAAGCAGCATGGCGATATCGTCTATGCGTCGGATGATGTCCACATGTATGAGTCTGCTGAGCTTGTGGATTATGTCCCAGCGCAGGGAGAGGTAGCAGCGGAGACATGGCTCGGCGAGCTCGAGGTGTCACAGGATATGAGAGGATTTGTGGCGGATGATTTCTGGCGGCTGGATCCGGAGCAGAAGGTACAGCTGGGGAGGGCCTACCTGAAGGATTTGAAGATCTTGGGGGAGATGGCGGCTAGAGGGGAGGCAGCGACGGTGTGTGATGTGGCCAGCACAACCTGTAGACTTCTGGCGGTGATCATGGGCTGGGAGAGGGCGGTGGTGCAGAAGCGGTGGAAGAACGTGGATGGCGAGTTTGACTGGAGCGGTGTTGCGTGGTAGGGTTTTGTTCTGTGAGTATATGGGTTCGGTATCTTAGTTTCGGGCACGGCGTTGCAATCAAGGGGTCGGGTAGGATATAAATGTAATACGTAAATCTTAGGCTCTGATAGGAGTTATCTGCTTGATGCGAACAAAGGATGATGAAAGACGAAGAATCCCTGCTCTGATTTCTCACAATAAGCTTTGAAATGCATGTGTTGATCTGCGTATGTAGAAGTCCTAAGGTTGATAAAACAATCCTCAGAAAGCCACCGTAGGGTAGTAGACTGGGCGGTAATACGCTCCCTCTCCCTGGAAATTGTCACTGATGAATATAGGTAGATGATATGATGAATGTTAATCTGACGTTAACGAGAGAGACGATGCTGTGTTTCTAGGAAGGGCTGCTGGGGATTCTGGTTTTATACAACAAGATTGAGGACAGCCTGTCACGGCGCCTATCCTTGCCATAACTCTACCGTTGCAATTGTAGGATACGCAATTGACAGTCACGTACACCATATATGAGAAACGGCGGTGTGTGTGGCCGGATTGTCGTCACCCGCGAACCTTATATATCTGGGGGAAAGCTAGACTTCGGCAGATTCAAGAGCTAGAGTTCAGACTGTCCTTCGTGACTTTAGTACATGTACCGTATTTACATTGGTCCTGGTTTTGACCTCCGCTCCTGAACAGTGTACTCAGCCCTAGGAGGATACATGTAGTAATTTAGTGTCGTCTGGAGGGCGAGCGGGCTTATTTCCTTACCTTAAGCTTGAGGATATACGTATACCACAATTGAATCGACAGAGTTCCGAGAGGGCAGGTTAGAGGTGCTTGAGGACACTATTTGCCCTTTCCTTGGGGCTGCTACACACTAAACCCTGATATCGGGTCATAGGGCATCACTCGGTCACGGTCACAGTCGAGTATTTTCTCGAAGATTTACATATAGGAAAATGTGCAAATACAAATACTACTTTGCAATTTGGTGACTACTAACTAACGCACTGAGAGTGCAGGAATGGTCGTTATAGCCCCGATTGTAACAGTCATGATGTTGGCTTTTGGTGGGGTCCACTGTTTTGCGTGGAACTTTAGTTTTCCAAGTTATTTTGGGGGCTTGCTTTGCGTAGGGGGGGTTTTTCCCGTTGCTATTGCCGGCTATTATGGGGTCTTTGTTCCTTGTGGTAATTAGATTTTATGTATACGCTATAAATTCTACCGGACCGTAGGAAAGCTTGTCTTGGTGTTTCGGGGCTGCATATGTATTATATACGATCTCGCGGTCTTATCTACCTGTAGAGACGTTCTACCTCGGGTTGATCCCAGCCGCAGCGGGTGCTTATAAGAATGCGCTATGGCTATGGGCGGAGTTTCTACCTCGCTTTAAGTAGTTGTTTTCCGTACTTAGCTAGATTCCGTTGAAATTATATGCTGGGTTTTTGATAGAACGGGTTCCCAGGGCCATTCAATACCTACGTCTAGAAACTTCGCTGAGACTCATGTTTATCATGGCGGTTTCTTGTTAATGCTACTTATTCACAACATGTTGGTATATTGTTGGTGTTCATCTTGTACCACGGTCTGGGCCCTCCAGAGTATACGTCCCGTCTGAGGAACTACCAAAATGGCACCATAGCATCCTGTTGCCGCGGCCAGATAACACTAGAAAGTCTCTTGTTAAGCAGTTTTCTGGTAATTAATGAAGTAATCAGTCAACCAATACGCAGTTTTCTAGGATTGAATCATGAGTTCTCACTCGAGCCCGTTGCCATGCTCAACCCTAGACGCCATACTCAAAACGTGATAGCCTAAAGACATGGATTCTAATAAACTTTTTTTGAGGCTGAAACATAATCCGTTGTGGTGTAATGGTTAGCATCAGTCGCTCTCACCGACTAGATCGGGGTTCAATTCCCCGCAACGGAAAAATGTCACTTAACTTTTGCTGCTGGAATAGAGGTCAAGCTGTTTTTTTTTATATCTTGATATTTTTGAGTTTTATCTATCTGGTTTGTACCTCCGTCTCCGAAAGGAAAATAGCTCGGCTGTGGGGTTATAATATACTCTAATTAATTAAATATAAATGGGGTGGTAATATACTCAAACCCTGCAGAAGAAATAAATGGATCTATTTCCGTAGTCGAGTTAATAACCTACATGTATGCTTCCGTGCTATTTCTTTCTGTGGGTACATGAATATAAGGACTAAATGAAAGGGCAAAGGAAATAGAGTCTATCCTATAGAAAGTATTTAGTCGGTCTATGTACTCTAGTCGAGAATTAAATTGCAAATCAGGCTTAATTGATAGCACCTTCGGTAAATCTCCGATAAAAAAAAATCTCAGAGATCCTAGTACAGCTCAATGGCTTTGGGTGTATCTAACAATCGTGGTTTGTACATCCACTACTCTCACAGGCGTATCCCTTCGTCTGTCGACAAAATGCTGCCTCCCCCCAAGAAAAAGCAAATCTGGTGTGGCTTTACTAATAGATCTCGTTATCTCCCTTATCAAATAACAGTTCTCACATACAAAATTTGATTTCTCTATTATAGGGGGGGGCAGCAATCGACAGACGAAGGGATAAGATCAAGAGGCATTTTTACTATGAGCATCAAACAGATATTAGGGTAGGCGGTGGATAAGCCAGACGTGTAGACGGTGTCGAGATAACGGATTGTGGGCTGGACAAACAATTGAGGTTCAGGCAAGCTGTGAGGGTAAGCTATTTAAAGGGATTAATATTTCCTTCCTCTAATTTTAGCTAGTCATGTCAGACTAGGACCTTACCGTTTGCTTCCTTCTATTAGTCCACCATTTTGGATATTTCATATCTTTCCCCAGCCTTGACCCCGGCCAATTTGTCATTGGATATCACCGCGGAGGTTGTGCAACCCCTCCGTGGCTGCATTTCTTGCCCGAATATAGGCCAGAGGGGATATAGAAGCACGGCAGCATGGACTTCTTGCCTTACACAGGAGTGTATCTACCCGTTTGAGTGGTGGCACCGACGGTTGAGTGAGAACTATCAGTGGTACCCCAAGGTAAGGTCTATGAACAATCCAGTTCATTATACCCCCATCGATTCGGGATGTCGCACTGCACTGGCCACTGTAGGCTGGGGATCGAAGGAAGGGTGATCAGTCTGCGTCTAGATCTCTGCACGGGTGATTAGAGGAATTCGTTCTCGATTCTGTCACGTCAAAGAGTACATAGTCAAGAACCAATCGATGGAATTGGATGGAACATCGAGGTTGAGGACAGCGGTAGATTTCTAAATAAAGTTCCGGGAACTCGACTGCTCACCTATGACAATTACTTGTGTTCCTCCAGAACTCTCAAACGGCCTGGCCCGCTGGGACGGGACGGGGATGCTGGGTCTTTTAATTTTGGTAGGGCACGGGGAATGTTTTTGACCATATATCTGGTGCCAAGAGTGTCCCGACCCGTCTCCGTCCTCATGTCCCAGAAGACCGGGTCTAAGAGTAACTTTCTGGAGCTATCATGGATATATATTGCGTGACGTGATAGTACATGTAGGCTAGAGGCTTACGCGGTCGTGTGAACCATAGAATAATCTGATCAGCTGAAGAATAAATTTATTACCACGAAGAATAGCTTTTTGTAATATAGAATAGTTTTTTATCACGAAGAATAACTTTTCATTATAAAGAAATTAACATTATATATATATATATAATGTGGTATATACGTATTGGTTAAAGAAATTAATATACAAACTCTGGATTGGTGTTTATATACGTTACCAGGTACATTAGAAATTATTTCAATCATCAAAAACCGGCCATGCCGTCATAAAACTGAGACCAGCTGGCCCCGCTGCGCATGTTCTTGGTTTATATTAACTGCGGCTTACGCGACGTCAACTCATAACCACTACAGCTTCTACACACCCTCTGAGTCTCTCTCATCATCAAACTCTGTCTATCATCGGCCTGTACTCTAATTAAGACAAGCCTTCTATTCTCCGTGATGTGTTTCACCCTGTCACCAAAACATGATCATGATGATACTGGAGATCAGACTGGTTTTGCGGCCAGCTAACACTATATAGACCGCATCCCGGGATTCACCGCTGCGAGGAACTCAAATATCATATTCTAGAACCTAAGCACATGACCTAGAAACCTTGAGTTCGCCATAAACAATGATTCGGTGTCTCAGAATTTGGTCTGGGCATTGTCTCGTGACCTGGCAGAACTTAACATTCGAAGACAAGATGGCTAAAAATCTGCAAGGGAGTTAATTCAGGCAAATCATATATACAGTTGCAACATTGGTATCAGGACTTGTTTTTTTTCTAATGCAGTGTGAATAAGTCGCTAGAATGCTGATCTTAAATGTGGTTGCTGCTGGTAGAATAAGTGGTATCAGGTCTCGGACGTCTTACGATCAGTCTCAATAGGTGCATATGAAACATGATATATCCTTTCACGGTTAAACCTCCATGGCAAACTATTTCGATAGGTGCATAAACAAATGTGAGTGGGAACATGCTAATGTCAAGGTTTATTTCTGTATGAAGGAACTTTTGTTTGAGCTGTCAGAAACGGTCCCTGTTAGAAGATTTTCTGGCCGTGCAGATCTCGAGTGATTCTCCATGAATCAATGACGAGAGCGGGAAACACCTCGGAAACCAGTCGGCTCGTTTCTTTCGATTCACAGACCCCTGGGTGCGTGGTACAGAAATAAAAGTACATATGAATAAACAAATATAAGATCACGAATCTGAACATATGCCCGACCATCAATTTACCCAGGAGCTGGTGTAAGATCTCCCCCCCATCCCTCATCGTAACTAAGTATTCCCCTGACCAAGAAATTTATTAACTGCCGTAGCTAACCCACAAATAGATATAGATATGTGGTACAGATATGTGCAAAATCTTTCATATCTTACCCAAGATCGCCATTTCCGCTTCAATTAGGTATTTGGTATCCGCGGCACACGATAACATGCCACGCCGTACCACACCGCCCGCAAAACCATGAACCGGTAAATGCCTTCCGAGAAGTCAACTCATCCCCTTGATCCCCCACCTGAAACGCCGTGGGGTACCTTATTCACATCCCGACATTGACAGGACCGGACACGACCCCGAGCACTGCCCTAGAAAGAGAGCGTGGCATACAACGTTAATTCGCCGATCAACTTAGTTACCGGCGTTGTCTTACATTCTGAGACTAGCCTTTCAACTATCTCTACAAACAAGTGCATACCTGGCAAGCGGAAAAGTAAGGCAGAAAAACTACGTCTATAACCTGGGTGGTGGACCCGTTTAAGTAGACGGAGGAAAAAAAAAAAACAACGGTGGTGGAGGTTGTGTGGAAAAAGTGGCGGTTTTGAGTGTTTCGGGACGGGTGTTTAATTGCGATTTTACGCAATTTGTGTGGTCAATTGCGTTCGTCAAACAAAACGGGTTTATGGGGAATAAGTGAGTAAGACCGAAGGGAAAGATTTGGAGGGGAAACATTGTAATGAGAAGTACCTGTTCTGTCACTTGGGAGAGGAGAATGGAGATGTCACAAATAAGCATGAGGGGAAACGATCATCCAATATCGCATCCGCGCTCCCTAGCGTACCAATGTTGGGTTCTCATGCACTCTTAAGCCACCAGCTGTAGGCTCCTGCGAGAGAGTACCTACATACTGAGAAGTACATGTATGGGGATTACTTTACTTCAGCCATGAATCGTACATACGGCATCACGCCCATCCACGATACGCGGAATATTGTTACACTACCACCGTCGGTATCGCCACTCTCCTGCGTAGTTACATCTAACTACATGTAATTGCCCAATCATTGAGCTGGATGGTTGTGAATTGATGGATTACTTATCAATTTCTGGCTAGGTGGGTACTAATTGCGCAAGCTACTCTCTACCAAAACCACCAAAACCTAGGTTCATTCCAAAGTCTGTAGGTACTATTCTCCTCTGGAGTACATACTACAGTCCCTACTGCAGGTACGCAATCGCAAATACCTACATGCAAAAAGCAAAAAGGTCCAACATGTCTAACTACGCCGCACCCAGCTCTTCTCACCGAAATTGAAATTGAGAGCCTGTATGGAGGGCGCACAGGTTCCCGCACGGACGGTTCTTGGCTTGGCACGTGCGAATGTCCTAATTGAGATCAGGGCAGCCGAAGAAGTGTGCGAGGAGGTGCTGAAGCGAAGGATGGTGGCTTTTCTTTTCTCAATGTCTCTATCCCCAAAGAACCCAGGAGGTCGTTGGTCTGATGTAGGTACAGATGTAGAGAACTCTAGGCATGTATGTAGGGAGGTAGATCGTACCTACATATGCAGGAGACGGGAGTTTGCTTCAGGTGCACAAAGAAGCTCATCGTGCATCGACCGCGAGCGTGATGAGGTAGAAGTACATACTAGATGGGTAGAGCTCCGGTACCTGGATCACACCCCAGCATATGGAGCACAAGAAAAAGGGGATTGGGGGGGGGGGGGGGGGGAGGAAGCTGGAGGTGATGGATGGGTGGCACCGCATTCCTCGGTATCCCTTTCGCCCTGTTCCCTGGAGCGTTGGAGCGCTGGAGCGGACCCTGACTGGCAGCCCGCACAACCGAGGCGGCGCTAGCAACGGAAGGGGAATAGCTGGCTTGGGTGTGGTTGGGTTTGTTGACCCGTGTGAAGGGGTAAGCTGCCCAAAGAGGGTGGGGGAAGAGCGAAATGGTCAAGTCTGAAGAAACCGATATAAATTTATAATTGCTTTTTGGGGGCTCGTCGAATGAACTTCTCATGAGAAAGGGGGGGCGGCGTGCATGGGATGGGCGAAGATGATGAGGTAGCTATCGCCATTGGATAGCACAGGATTGGATTGGATTGGAGGAGAGATGTTTTGGTTGGTGAGAAACATTGCGAATTGCAGCTGGAGGGCAAGAAAAAAACAGGAAACAGCATGAGGATACCTCAGTGTAGGGTAAAATAGATAGTGTGTGTGTGTATGAAGGACGATAGATGATGATAGGTAAACAAAAACAGAAGGACACATCAGTATCATTGTCATGATCAGCACTCACCTTTATCTTTTATCTTCATCGTCCTCTACCTGGATATCCTTCGTGCGCTCTTCGTCTAGATCACGAACGAGCGAGTGCAGGCTGCAGAGTTACTGTGGTTTTTATCTTCTTGATTTGATTTTGATAGATCCTTCATCTCGTCTCGTCTCCACTTACCTTCTAGACTTTTTTTCTTCCACCGTGCCCGCTCATCACCGTTCCCCGTTTCCAGTGGTAGCGAGTGAGTGAGAAGGGTCCAAGGAGGGAGACTCGCTGTGTGGTCAAAGCCCTCCCATCCTGGATCGTCTGAAAGCCTGTCAGCTTGATTGATTTGCCTGCTCGGAGTCTACTACAAACCTACATTTCGCTCCACACACCTACCTCCACCTCTCTACCCTTCCACATCCCTTCCCCGCTGTCTTTTCAGTATTCGCCTGTGCGGAACAATCAGCAGCGTCCATCACCACTGAAATCATCATCATCACCATCATCATCGTCTTCCCCTCACTCTGATCACTCGCAGGCCGTTATCCAAGCTCTACACACTCGGCAGTTCCCCCATACTCTATCTTGCCGTCGGTGGTAGATCACAAACACTCACTTGCTTCCCGTACGTTCCACGATTGGTGTAAATTTGTTTGATACCCTGCCGCTCTGCCCGCTCGACATTTCTCGTGCACTACATACTGCTTTTGTCTGTACGATATCTACTTTCGATAGAAACAGAACCAACATCAAGTCCACATCTCTAAATTGGTCCACCCCCCCTACCTAGTACTCAAGAGCAAGGTATATCCCCGTCTTCCAGTTATATTGACCGAAGGTCGGGTCGATACCAAATTTTAAAAATTTCATTGCTCTGCCATAGCACCCTAAAGCTGGACGGTTGAGCTTCAAGCGATACATAGCTGCATACATGTGCATTTACAGTGCTGACTGACTTGACGTTGTCTAGGTGACCCTTACTTGCCTTGCAGAACCGTTGACTTTCGATCTCCCCCGTCTGTCTGTCGTCCGTCCCATCCATCCCTCGCATCTCAACCTACCTGCATCCTCGACTCCTCCTGCAACAAAAAGAATTATCGCCCGATAATTCTCCCTCTCTCTCTCACCGCAACGTCACTCACTACCACATCCCTACTCACCACCACCACCCACCCACCTGTCCTCCGCGTCGACCACTGGTGGCTCCACTTTTTCTTTTTATTCCCTTCTTTCTTCTTTTAGGGACCCCTTCTTTTTGACGGTGGTGATACTATTACTTTCTGGAAGCCGTTCACTCGTTTTGCGGCCCCATTTTTAACTTGCCTACGACGTCTCAGTCATTCTTGAACGAAAGGAATCAAAAAGAAAAAACGAAAACGCTTAAACGAACGAAAGGAATAAGAGCAAGAAGGATCTGATCTTATGCCCGGAAAAAGTGCACAAGAGTGTTAGATTTCTTTTCTACCGGTTGTTGTTTGTTTGTTGCTACTGCATTCAATAGGTACCTACTACCACCCTGGAGAGCTTTGCAAGAAAGAAGTTTCTACCACCCTGCCTTGCCTTGCCCTGCCCTGCCCTGCCAGTCTGCACCCCCACCCACAATATCGACGACGACGTGTTTACCCACTTGCTCCTTCCCAAACCCGGTGTTTACTGACTCACGCTTTTTCTTTCTTTGCGAAACGATAGATAGATAGATTTTCGCTTTCACACCATGACCATGACAACCACAACATTACCACGGCCCCCACGGGCCTCCTACGGCGGACCAGCACCAGCCTCCGGTCTCCCAGCCCTCTCACAAACACTTAACCCGCGAGCCTCAGTCACCTCCCTCCGAAAAGTATCGCTCCTCCCACAAACACCACGAAAACCAAGCGGCCTGTCAATCGTCCCCAACGGTGGCCGACCGACAACACCATCATTACCGATCCCAAGCACGCCCCAGGGCCCCCGAAGAGTAGTCAGTATTGCGTCATTTCCACAGCCCCCGAAAAGCGGAGGGAGATCGAGCTTTCCAAATTCAGGATCGGGGTTCTCGGAGTCGCTATTAACGCCGACAAGTCCGTTGAGTAAGGGCCTTGAGAGGTCGCCGAGTAATAGTAATAGGAAAAGTATCGCGGGTAATCCGGGTGCGGGGTTCGGAGGTGCGGGGACGACTATAACAGGTGGGGGCAACGGCGGGTATTTAAGTCCCCCGCACTCACGGAGTAGTAGCGCCCAAGGGAGCTACTCTACAAGCGCGACAACAATAGAGGCCTCACCGAGCTCTGGCGACGAGCTGCGGGGGTCATCAGGCGACCCTAGCGAGAAAGAGCAGAAGGGGAATGTTATCGTCTCTGTGAGGATAAGACCCGACGCACCCGACTCTGGAGGAGGAGGACCCAATCCAGAATGGATTGTAGATGGGCGTTCGGGGAAGGTTGGGTACGGGGGGAAGGACGGTGGGATATACGAGTTTGACAACGTGTTTGGGCCGGAGCAGAACAACACTCGGGTATATGAACATTCCGCGAAACGACTGGTACGCAGGGTGATGGAGGGATATCATGGGACAGTGTTTGCGTACGGAATGACGGGAACCGGGAAAACATTCAGTATGCAGGGAATAACGAGCAGTCCTGGTGTCATCCCGTTGGCCATCACAGATATTTTTGCTTTCATTCGAGAAACACCAGCGAGGGAGTTCTTGCTGAGGGTAAGTTATCTGGAAATCTACAACGAGCGCATCCACGACTTGCTGGCCTCGCAACCGGGAGGTGCCGGGTTCGTGCCCTTGGATCAGCAAATTAAGGGTGAGGAGATCAAGTTGCGAGAAGACGCAAAACGCGGGGTATATGCGACTCCGCTTAAGGAGGAGATCGTCCAGAGTCCGACACAGCTACTGCGTGTCATAGCACGGGGAGACTTGGCACGGCGAACAGGCAGCACGCAGTTCAATGCACGAAGTTCACGGTCCCACGCGGTTGTGCAGATCGTTGTTGAGTCAAGAGACCGCATCCCCGGCACTACAGCGGGGGGTGGAACAATGGTGGATAACCGACGGGCAGGAATCACCGGAGGGGTGAGAGTCTCAACGCTAAGTTTGATCGATTTGGCTGGGTCCGAGAGAGCTGCGGAGAATAAGGAGCGAAGACAGGAGGGTTCACATATCAACAGGTCTCTCCTTACGCTCGGAACAGTCATCGCAAGACTGTCTAGTGTCGACAAGGAGGGGAATGGAAAGGACAAAGATGGGAACCATCTTCCGTATCGTGACTCTAAACTGACTCGTCTGCTGCAACCTGCTTTGTCTGGTAACTCGCTCGTATCCATCTTATGTACTATCGCAATACCACCGGCGAATATGTCGGCTCTCAACGCAACGCATACGGGTGAAACGATGAATACGCTGAAGTTTGCAGCGAGAGCACGGAATAATATCGTTTCGCATGCGAAGAAGGGTGATGAGAGTATCATAGGCGGTGTAGGAGATGCTGGTAGTAGAGTACTGCTGGAGAGGTATCGCATGGAAATTCTGGAGCTGAGGCAGCAGCTAGACGACCAAAAGAAAAAGGAGGGGACGGACCACAAGGACTTGGTCGAGAGAGAGGAGAAGGAGATCGAGAGGGTGAGTTATATTTTGTTTCTGTTGTGTTGTGCCTCTTTGTTTCATTTGCAAACCCCCCTCGCATGTTGGAATGTAGCGCTGATGCGAACGGTACCTGCAGCACTCTGAGCAGCTACTCGAGATCCAACTCGCCCGGACGGCGCTAAAAGAGCGCATCGAGCACCTGAACCGCCTCATTCTCTCCTCCAAATCATCGGGTGTCAACTCGGCTCGTAATTCGTTGCTCCCCAATCCAGGCCATATGTCCGCATTGTCTTTCCGCTCCTCAATGTCCAACTTGCACCCGCCCGGTGGACGACCCTTTTCAACAGGTTCAACAATCTCGATATCGACAGCTATCAACGGATGTCCCACTTCAGATACAGCGACCGAGGACTCATCAGGCGAATATGGTGACGGTAACGCATCGCTTGGCGCACAGGTTCGTGCTCTGCAGTCAGATGTGGCGGACAAGAACCGCTATATCGCGACCCTGGAAAAACGTCTCCTCCAAGCGCGCCGCAGTTCAAATAGTCGGGCAAGCATGATCTTTGGCCCACCGCAGAAGCCACCGAGTCTTTTCGGCTCGTCCGAGCTTGTACCGGAGGGCCGATGGGATGTACTGTTGAGGGAGAAGGACGAAGAGATCGCAGAGCTGAGGGCCCGATTGGATGATAAAGAGAAGATGGTCACGGCGCTGAGGAACGCTGCGCTGAAGCGAGACTTTGCAGAAACGGGCATAAGGCCTAATAATAGAAGTATCAAGAGCGCTAGTGTTGATGGTGCTGGGGCGGGCGTGAGGACTATCAGTGCGGGCGGACGAGGGCCAGGGGTTGGTGTGAGGATGAGAGGTGCCTCCGATTCAGTCGCGCCATTAAAAACAAGAGGAAGCACGGATAGTATCACAAGTGTGCCGGAGTGTACGGAACATGAGGAAGATGGAACGTTTTAGAAATAATACAAGCGAAACGTCGTGTGGATAGCTTAACGGAACTGGGAGTATATAGGATGGGTGCTGCGGGTGCATATGGATTTTTATTCCTTTTTGTTCTTTCTATCTTTGTCTTTTTTCTTTCTTTCTTGCCTTTCGGATCTTTCTTTTGTGCTTTTTTTTGCAGGTTGACAAAAATTCGGGTTGCGGGGGGTTATTTTCTTGGGCTTTTTTTTATCTTTCTCTTTCTCTTCTCGGTATTTGAAATATTGTTGGCTTATCTTTTTTTTTGCTTTTTTTTTGCCCCGGTCTTCGTTTCTTATATTTTGATCATTTGATTTGATACATGGTAGTGGGTTTGGGGGTGGTGCTGGGCTGGGCTGGGCTGGGAATTAAAGGCGGCGGGGCGCTGTTCTTTTCTTATTTTATCTTCTATTGTAAAACTTAATTCTTTCGTCTAAACCCCTTTTTGCTTCTTTTATTTTCTTGTTTTTGTATTTTGGGAGGGGAGTTTTTTTGTTGTTCCTCTTTTTTTTTTATTTGTTTGCTTGATTTATATCCGGGGCCTTTCTTCTTCATTTTCGTTATTTGACCATGCTTATTCTGTGTTCTGCTCCGTTTTTTGTGCTGTTCTTGTGATACCTTTTTTTTATATCTTGATCTTGCCTACTTCTTTTATATTCAGGTCTCGACGTACGGTTGTATCTAAAATCGATATCGATATCTCTGAGTTTATGTGTACTTCTTGCATGTACTGTGATTGTGATCGTGGTGACGAAAATCACTCCGTTTTTATTATTGTGCTCTTATATTTTAGTATTAATGCTTGATGTGGCTCGCGTCGTGTGTATATAGAGTACATTTTCCTATAAAACACTTTCTTTCACTTTCTCTTTAATTTGTGGTGTGCGGTATTTATGTATGAGCTGCAGGGTGGAGGTTACGGTACGGAAAAACGAACTTGCATGTACGTATGGTGAATTAGGGTAATATGATAAAGCGTATCTATCCCACTCGGAGTTTGCGAAGCTGCGAGGTGCCGTGAGTGTTCTCGCGCACTTGTAAATAGCTGAATCGGCCAAGTTCGCCGCTTTAGGGCAGGGCGTCTACAACACTGACCGAAAACGGAATCCGCTTTGGGAGGAAAGCATGGGATGTCACTCGGTTACGTCGCTGTTTCGGCGTGTTACTCGGTTTTGCTGTTGTGGTTCAAGTAATGCATGGTGTGGTGCGAGAGCATGGTTCTGTAGTGTAATGGTTAGCACCCAGGATTCTGATTCCTGTAATCCCGGTTCGACTCCGGGCAGGACCTCTTAATTTTTTATGGATTGGGTGAGTTCAAGGACTCGTTGTCCCATGTCGATTTTTTTTCGCACTTTCCGTTGCTATCTCCAAGCCTTTGTTGCTGTTAAGTAACCTTGTATTCTGCACAGTAGCACTTTTTTCTTCTCGAAAACAACATATATTGCCGCCTGAATGGGTAAAAAATAAGCCTCCAGTAACGAATGACTGTCAAATAAACGTTAAATAAGGCCTTACTCACGAAAAATGGTGGTATTAGCCTTAATCTGGGATAAGGGTTTTTCCTGTGTAAGAGTCTTTCAAAATAATGCATATATACGGCTTATTTTATGTATAAGCATTATATTTGAGTGATTATTATCAAATGGCTCAAGTATTTACACCAGATGCTCCTTTTTCATCAAATAAGGCTCTTTTAAGGCTCTTCAGTGAATAAGGCATACAAGGCTTAAAATTCGCAGCCTCTCCCAGTATTTCTGGGCGCATACTTAAAATTCAATATAATAAACTAAATCTTGTAATCTGAACAATCCGTTGTGGTGTAATGGTTAGCATCAGTCGCTCTCACCGACTAGATCGGGGTTCAATTCCCCGCAACGGAATCACCTTTGACGAGAGATAATATCTAACTGTTTAGTATTATCAAGCTATCTTTTTGTATATTTTTTTTTTTTAATTTTATGTGATAATTCTGTTTGAGTCTAAATTATAGTAATACATGTTCTCGCGTGATAGGTTTTCGCAGTAACTAGATACCCGCTGGAGGAGGGGCTGGTGATGTAGAAGTAGTGAGGGGGTATTGGGACGTTTTTCGTGGGACGCTGGCGCTGCTGAAACTTTAAGTACTACATATTTAACTGTCCACAGGCATTTCCACCGATGTGCCTCTGGCGGGGGTGCTGAGTTAATGTAGTGAGAACTAGCTCTCTCTGGGTGGAGCTCCGACTTTGAGCGCAAAAGCTTCGCCGAGACACAGGAAATGCGCATATGGTATTTGTATACCGCAAGTCGGTATTGTGTCGATTATTGTAGGAATTAATTGCAACTGATGCGCCTCCGAAATGACGAGGTGGTCAGAGATAGCTGTGTGCAAATCGGCGTCGGACGTGAAATTACTTTCTGGACTTGGGGTCTATTGGTTATATTACTTCGGTGACTTGCATGTTCCTTTTACGGGAATTTATGTGGCTCAGCGTGAGCTAAGCCTATGTACATAAGTAGCTATGAAAAATGAGAAAATAATACTGCGAGAAGAGTTCGCGTAGCGGGGACAGGTGGGCTGATGAACTCACTGCCTGGTTGCGAACATGAGGTATCACTCGAGGATAGTTTTTGGGGAACACGTAAAGTTTTGTGGAAAAGATGTATGCACTAGGGCTAGAGGACGTGTCGATATTGGGGCGTATAGGTAGTACCCCATATATTTAATATGAAGGCCAAACCAACTCTCGAACTTCTGTTCACTCGATCGATCGTAAATAACTAGTTATCTGCCAACTTGAGCGAATCAATCACATTGAAAACGAGCTTCTCTAATGATAACAAGTATGCAATTCCACCCTTCCTTTTCCTTCGCACTCGGCAGTCCGCCTTCTAAGTATCGACTGAATATCTGTTAGCAAATCCATCATTCGAAGCTGAACATTCAAGGGTGGTTGGTAGCTGCTCTAGATCGCACTCAGAACAAGTCGCAGTGTTTATGTAACTTCTTTCCACGCAAATTAAACTCACGAGATAAATTAACACCACCAACGCCCTCGCAAAAAATTGACGCGTAAAATCCACTTTTAATTTTTTTTCTTCCCAACCACAACTCTTTTCAACGCCAATGGTTCCAGTTAGGGTACAGATAGTTAACACAGCACTGCAGCCAGGAAAGAGATCTGGCTGCGGCTTTGAGTTCATATCCGGTGACCCACACTGTATTTTTTTTTGCTCAGTCACGTTTCGGACATTGTTCGAGAAATCGAAGCTTACTCTCTTCTTGCAATTTCTTCAGCCGCGCTTCTTCCCCCTTGCTCAAACTCTCCTCAGGATTGTGCTTCGAAGAAGACAGAGGAGCCAGGAGTAAGCTTCCTAAACGCGAGGTAGCGGCCGAAAGAGAGCTAGAACTACCACCGGAGGTTGGAATGGGTGCGGGCTTCGAGGCAGTGTACTTCGGAGTAGGGGGTTTTTCGGACCCACGGGCTGGGGACTTGCAACTAGAACTAGAGCCATATCCAGCTGTAGAGTATCCAATTGTAGAGTCGCCAGCGGTCGAGACGGAACCAGAGGTGGTGGTCTTTGAGCTCAAGGAGGTCCTCGATCCACGAGTAGACGACTCCGAATCATGGCTGGAACCAACAAGACCGTAGCTAGCTTTCCTCTCCGGCGGAGACGACAATGGGGATGGTGGGACTGGGGAAATTGGCCGGGTTGCCCTCTCCATTTTAAGCCCGACGCCGTATTTATTCATGATATCGACCCTCCAGTTTCCGTTGGCCTCGCGGGGGACATACCCTACCTCCGAATCAGTACTGACGGATGCCTGGTCGCTGTCACGGTGCTCGGAGTGTCCAATGTCCTTTGGAGTGTAGTCGCCGGTTTCGAAGGCGAGGAAGCCAGCAGCGCGGATGGCGGAGATGCAATTGGGGCATCGGGGGGAGTAGTTGGTGTAAATAATTTCTTTGTGGGTGTTGATGAGGGGAGCGGCCTTTTCGGAGGATGTGTTCGACGGCATTGTGGAGGATTTGTTAGTTGTTCGGGGGTGGTTAGATGGGTTAGCAGACGTAGAATTGGTCAATATGGGAAGATATGAATTTGGGCAATTGTGAAGAGATGGTGATAGTGATGATGATCGATGGTGGTAGAGAGATTGTAGAAGTGCGAATTATTGTGCTTATGTAGCAGAAGACCCCGTTTTCATGCCGGCATGGTTGACGATGTTGATTTTATCGATCGTTGGGTTGAAGAATCAAGTGGGGAGTTTCGTGATTCAAGTGCTCTCACTTGAGATTCAAGAGCCCACTTGGTTGCCAAGACACGAGATAAATCTGACTGTTAATAAGAGATAAGAGAATTAGTGGTTTATTTGTCGGGGGAGAGGTTTTAATCTGGAGAGGAGAGTTACATAGAATGTGGTGGTGGAGGAGGGGGCTGCAAATGTCAATGACCACGATGCACGTTTCCTACGAACCTGGTAAGTTTGCCAAGGGTTGTAGTAGACAACCCGGGAATGTAGACGGAATCAATTTGTACACTCCAAATTTTTCTGCTTCGAGATATCGAGGAGAGGTAAGTAGCCCGTCAATGCATCCTGTTAATCAGCGTCAATGATTAGCATAACCAGAAGCATTTGCAGAATAAAAGAAAAAGAAAAAAAGCACATTCTTCTTTGGGTGTGGGGTTGTAGTATACGTATCGCTATATGAGCTCTACAAATGATATATGGCTAGATAAAATAGGCCTGATGTGGCCAAATGAGGAAAATTATTTATATTAAGATTCCAACTATTCGCTACATTTGAATTTCCTAGTTCTCCACATCCAAAAGGTCTGTAGCAATACATGGATGTAAATAAACATAACGAAATACAATATGAAAGTATGTATATATATAGCTGCGCTACTATATATAGAACAATTATGAACTAATGAGGTTTCGGAGTTGGTGGAATGGAAGAGGGAGTGAGAGCCGGGAGGATATATAGGCATCTATATTATAACATTAGCAAAGGTCACAGATAAGGTGAATTGGGGGTTGTAAATACCGTAACTCTGGAGATTATGACTTTGGGAAGGTGGAAAAGATTGAGTGTTTATGTACTGATGACGTCGACATCAAGTCACTGAAAGAAAAAAAACGTCAACAACGTTCTCAAAAAAAGGACAAGTATACCGATTTCCACCTCTTCAAGACCACGAGGCAAAAATACTCAACAAATACTTACCCAGCAAGACCTACCAAAAAATAAAAACATAAAAAAGAACAGAGACCTATCCCCCAATCCCAACCACCCCCCTCTCCGCCTTAAAGAACCCAAACGACAGCGGCTCCACCTCCTCCCAATCCGTCACACGAACATGCGCAGCAAACCGCACGCCCATCCTATCCATCTACTCAAACATGGCCATGTCCAGCCCCAACAGGTCCAGCACTTCCTGCGTCAATGGCTGGATGTTGTGCGTGTAGGTGGTGGTGTAGGCGGGCCGGAACTGGTGGAAGTACCAGATGTTGTTGTTTGGGCGGATGCGGCAGCGCATGGTTACTTAATTCTGTAGGTACTGGTGGGGTATGGAGGTGTGGGAAGTAGGACCGGACAGATGGGTAGATAGGTCCTTTGAAGAAGGGTTTGGGAAGTTTGGATGATGGTGGGAAGGATGGAAGGGAGGGGTGGTATTGTACCTTATAGAGGCTGCTCACTGCTAGCTGGGGGGAAGATGTTAAGAAGTACGCAAGTAGTACGTAGTACTCATAAGTGGTTAGCTGTAGTAGCTTATAAACAGTTATCATACGGCCAAATACTATCAGATAGCGTTATAACGTCAATTCCAGCGATAACCTAGTACCCGTTAAAATCACTAGAGGTTACCCATCGTGCCCACATATCAAAAAACGCCCTTTCCACTCCAACCCACCCAACACCAACACAGCGGTTTCCAAACACAACACAGTATCCAAGCAGCCTGCCTAAGCACAGGTCATAAATCCTAGCTAGCGCGCACCAAAAGCCATACCACAACCATCTAATCTAATCTAATCAATTACGCACCAACCCCAACACCACGGCAACCTCCGAGTGAAAGCAGTGAAAAAAGGAGGGGGAAAAAAAAAATCTTCCCCGGACAGGCTTGAACTGTCAACCTCTCGATTGCATCCTAACAGTCGAACGCGCTAGCCAATTGCGCCACGGAGAACGATGCCTGTGACACCATGGTTGTGCTATCAATTTTTTTCATTTTTTTTTTTCATTTTCTTTTTTTCATTGTAGGAAGAGTGGGATTTTGTCAGGAAGGCTTTTTTTCCGGATAATGTTATTTTGATAAGGGCGACCGTGTGAGTCCGTGTAAATCGAATTGAAGCATTGCCTTCAGTGAGGACGCTCCTATTCCTAGCATCGTCGAGGGATTTGCTCTCCAGTAGTAAAACCGTGATGCACGCTGTGAGGTGAAGCCAAAGGGAATTGTAGTTTACGCCCAAGACTAGACGCAAAACAAGTCCAGAAGACGGGAGGATCTACACTAATGATAAATATTAGAAGTCAAATAAAGAAGAAAAAGGAAGAGTTTCTCATCCCGACTCACTGAGCATCAGAGAGGAACAAAAAAGCTGAATCAGCCGGGAATCGAACCCGGGTCGGGCGCAAATCATCGAAGAGATGGCAAGCGCCCGTGATACCACTACACCACTGAATCTTGTTTCCTCGCCCGCTCACAACATTTAAGTTCTAAAACCAAACCTGCCAGTCAAAAAACAGCAACGTTCAATCTCAAACAGCGGAGCTACATGTACCCCAATTAACAAACCCTCAGCTATCACTCTAGTACTAATTAATTCCGAAAATCCCGTATGGACTCTCCAGCCCATCACGTCTTCGAAAACCATCCATCCTTATTCCTCTCACACAGCAACGCGTTCTCATACCCGCGATAATAAAGCGTATTCTCCTACCGTACCATCATATTAGCCTCTCCCTATATGAAAAAAAACCCCAACTCCAACTACTCGTAAATGAAAACCTACATTCCCAAACCCCTCTCTAATCGCATCCGCCACCAGACTCTTCGGAAACCTCGGTCGATGTCCCCTCGCCTCCATATGGAACGAGTTCGTCGCGGGGTCCGCAAACTGGCCGCACTTGTAGCCCGTGACGAGGCCGCGCTTGTCCATGGCGGTGAAGAGGCGCCTGCACCCGGTGTCGTCCTTCCATGCGGGGCCCCAGGTGATCTTGAAGTCGTCCCAGAGTAGGCGCGCGCGCACGACACAGCTGACTTCGAGGATGGGTTTGTTGGCCCAGATGGTTTTGGGCGGGAGGTGGGTGGGGGTGGGGGTTTTGGGGGTTTCTGTGGGGTGTAGTAATGTTAGCTCTGATGGAAGTGTAGGTGAGAGGTTATGAATTGGGGGGTTTATACCGTCATCATCACTATCACCGTCATCACCACTGTCATAACCATCATCATGCTCATAATCTCCATATGGCTCCTCCTCCCCCATGATATACCTTTTAAACCCCCCATGAACTCCACCCCCCCCATCCCCCCCCTGTACATCCTCAATGACCAGCTCCGGCAGTCTCTCAAACTGCACTGTAGGCCTCGCCGTAGCACTAGCCTGGGCAGCAAAATCGCCCATGAACTCACGAAACAACGCGGCCGGTGCTCGGGTCGTGAAGTCAAATCTGGAGGTAATGGTTTCTGCTGCTGCTGCACGGGGGAGGAGGCTATCTGGTGACTGGTGTTGGGCGTCGGGATGGGGCTTTGGCTTTGGGGATTCGGTGTCTGGGTTTGTGGCTAGTGCTCTTTTGGTTTTATTTCCTAGAGAAAGAGGGTTAGCTAGCTATCTCGAAAGGCAAACTGAACCCCCTATCAAACCAGGAAGACCCACTTGGTGTATCCTCAGGAGCCTTCATAGGGTTACCATGCTCATCGATATCATACCCCCAATATCCCACCTGCGTCTCCACCGCCGCATCATACGGCATCGTAACAGTAACTATCCACACCACACCACATCCACATCAGCATCATCCAATAAAACCCATCTACCAGTACCCCTCTCTAGGCAAAGTAGAAAAGGACAGTACCAGTCTCAAAAACAGTCTCCGTCACATCCACAATCTCACCAGACCTCTCGCAGCGCATGCCGAGTGGCATGTAGCATGCTCTCTCGCCGTCATCTGTTATTGCTCAGCCCATCTTGTCAGCGTATTCCCTCTGTTCCTGCGATAAAAGAGCCAAAGACGAGTGGGGAGGAGGGGAAGATGGTACCCTCGTGCGTGGTGCAGAACTCCTCGGGAATCTTGCACCATTTCTTGCCTAGGTGTTTTGGGCGTGCTGGGGTGGGGGTAGCGGGGGCGACGATGAAGAGGAGTAGGAAAAGCAGGAAGAAGAAGTGGTAGATGGGGGTGGGGGTTGGCATTATTGTTAGATTGGAGAGTTGGGGTGGGGAGGTTGCGTTTTTGGGGGGCTTGAAGGATAGTGGTGGGTGGGAGGTTTATGGGATGAATTGTAGGGTTGCTGGTCTGTACAACGTCGAGCTCCTGGTCTGTGGCCGGAGAAGGTCAATGATTGGGATGCAGGATGTTGTTATCAAGAATGGGAAAAACCACGTCGGTGGTTTAATATGAAAAAAAAAGCGTTATTCTAGCCTTAAAAATATACGTTGGTAGCCTCCTAAGATAGAGATATCCGAGATTAAAGTGCATTTTTCTTCGTTTTTTTTGGTTAAGAGATTGAGACGGTATTTACTGAAGTTCGGAGTGTGGGAGAAAATGACTTAAATGTAGTTTGAACACGTGACCTTGAGGGAGGATGTGTTTGTAGTGCGAAGAAGATACTATTGCGCCGCTAAAGTTCCAGCGACAATGTGGGTGTTTGAGAGCTCTATATATACAGATATTCTAATACCACGTGATCCCCTGATTACATAATCCCTGACACTAAGCCTTGTCTGAATCCCTGTTCCTTCTATGAGTCATCCCTTATACATGAGTAATTCCATAAATAACCGATGTCGCAATGCCCTATTTCTACACTTCCCCTCACTTGCCACATCGTATCAATTCTGACAATTTTTGGTGAGCTGGTTTCGGTAGTCCTTTGGTCATTATGTCTGCAACATTGTCTTCGGTTGGGACATAGAGGAGTTTGAAGGTTTCGGCTTCGAGTTGTTCACGTGTGTAGTGATAGTGAACGTCGATGTGTTTGGACCGGTCGTGGATACGTGGGTTCCGACAGAGTTCGATGGACCCTGTGTTGTCGGCGTGGATGTTGTATTGGTATTGTTGTTGGAGTTCGCATAAGGCGTTGCGAATCCATACCAGTTGTCGAGCTGTTAGGGACAGAGCCATATATTCGGCTTCTGTTGTTGAGACTGCGACTGATTTCTGCTTCCGGCTTCTCCAGCTTATGGCTGATTTTCCTAGTCTGAACACGTATCCTGAGAACGATTTTCTGTCATCTAAGTCTGAAGCGTAGGAACTGTCTGAGAAACCATCGAGTGTTCTAGTGTTTCCTTTCGGGTAGAACAGGTTCCAGTCTTTGGTTCCGTTGAGGTATCGGAGAGTTCGTTTGGCTGCTCGTAGGTGGTCCTCAGTTGGGCATGAGGAGTACTGAGAGAGGGCAGTAACGGTATGGGTGATATCAGGTCTGGTTGCTATGCTGACGTACATGAGTGATCCAATTATGGATTGATACTCAGTTGGTTTCTCGATTTGATCTTCTGGTTCTCCTTTACGAAGACTCAGATTTGGTTCGAGTGGTGTCCCAACTGGTTTGCAGTTATTCATTCCAAATTTGTCTAGGATTTTGTTGATGTATGCTAGTTGTGACAACGTGATACCGTTCTTTGATACCGTTATTTCTATTCCCAGTAGGAATTTCGCATTACCGAGATCCGTACATTCGAAATCTGCCTTAAGTAGTTGTCTGATTTCGTTTCTGAATGGGGAGTCGGGTCCGAATATCATGATGTCGTCAACATACACCGATATGTATAGTTGGTGTTTCTTATGTATGAAGACACATGGGTCGAATTTGGCTGGGACAAATCCTTTCCGTTGAAGGGAGTCTGCTAGGCAAGCGTACCATTCACGGGGTGATTGTTTTAGTCCATATATGCATTTTCGAAGTTTACAAACCTTGTGGTCCTGCCTGTAGCCTTCAGGTAGTTCCATGTAGATTTCCTCCTTAAGTATACCATATAGGAAGGCTGACTTGACGTCCATTTGTTGTGGTATCCAACCGTTGTGTGCGGCTAGTGCAAGTAGGAGTCTTAGGGAATCGTATCGGGCAACGGGGGCGAAGGTTTCATCATAGTCTTGATACTGTACTTGGGTGAAGCCTTTGGCGACGTATCTAGCTTTGTATCTTTCGATTGTTCCGTCCGCGTTGTGTTTTACCTTAAATACCCATTTTCCTCTGACTACTGCTCGGTTAGTTGGTCTGTCGACAATGTCCCAGGTGTGGGCCTTGTCGAGGGCGTCTTTCTCTGTCTGTATTGCCTTCTTCCATAGGTGTTGATCATCGCTTTTCATTGCTTGATTGAAGGTGGTAGGTTCAGTTACTAGGTGTACCCGATGTATGGTGGAATCCAGGTTGTCGTACTGACTTTGGAGCTTTGCTTTGTCCTTTTTGTGGTCTAGACTGGCTGCTTCCATTGCTAGTTGCTTGGTTTGTTCGTCCATATCTTCATCGGCTAGTATCTCTGATACCTCCTTGTCATAGGTGGTTCCTAATTCCGATATTTTCAGTCGGATTTCCTTCCTTTTCCCTTCGATATCAAGTGCTCCTTGTTTCTCCGTTCTTTCATGGATGCGATTCGATCTTCTTGTTGTGACAGGATGCGGGACTTCAGATTCTTTCTCCTTTTCGGTTGTTGGTTTCCAAGGTTTCGATTTCCTTGGTGGTTCCGGGGGAGGTGTTTCTGTGTTTTCCTGATTAGCTTCCTGTTTATTACTTTGTTCGAGGTGACGTCCAGGAGTGGGCCTCGTAAGCCCGGCCCCCAGTCTACTTGCGTCTGTTTCAAGGTCTTCTTCGAGTGCTGACGATTCGGGTTCTTGATCAGGCCTGTCTTCTGATTCATATCCGTCGTCTGTCGGTGCAGGTGCCGCTTCTGGTTTCAGGATAGGGGTGTAGTCGAGTTCCACGGAGACTTCCCCTGATTCAGGAGGGGGGAATGTGACATCTCGACTTACAACTAACCTATTTTGTGATCCTATCCAGGTGCGGTAATGTTTGGTACTGTCTGAGTATCCGACGATGATTCCTTCGTGTGCTCGGGGTGCTAGTTTGCTTCCTGCTGGCCTAGAGTTTTCTGGGATGTGGACATAGCATTTCTTTCCGAATGGTTGAAGGTGTTGGATACTCGGCTTTGAACCTTTCAGGGCTTCGAAGGGGGTCTTTCCCTTTAGCGTACTGTGGGGTAGCCTATTTTTGAGGTAGACAGCGGTTGAGTATGCTTCACCCCATAACGATTTAGGATGGTCCATGATCATTCACCTGACCATTGTTGTTATCGTCCTGTTAAATCGTTCTGCAACTCCATTTGATTCAGGAGTGTATGGGGGAGTCTGTTCGTGGACTATTCCTTGTAGGTTGAAGTAATCCATTGTGTCCTTGTTGACGTATTCACCACCACCGTCTGTTCTAAATCTCAGTATTGTTGTATTGTACTGTTTCTCGATTTTCGTGACGTAGTCTTTGATGGCTTTTATCGCATCGTCTTTCTGTTTTAGCAGATATATCCAGGCGAAGCGGGTATAGTCGTCAATGAAGGACATATAGTACAGGGCTTTTCCTTGCGATTGTGTGCCGAATTTTCCAGATAGGTCAGAGTGGATTAGTTCGAATGCTCGCTGGGATCTTGTACTAATTGGTGCAGGTTTCTTGTGCACACTTTTTGATAGTGCGCATTGACTGCAATGGAATGTTTCTGGTTTGGGGGGTAGCTTATGGATGTCTTCGTACAAGTTTTCTAGTGTCGCAGGGTGGCCTAGTGCTTGATGCCATTCAGAGTAAGTGGTCAAGCGAACTGTATTGCTAACTACTTGTACATTCCAAAGTCCCTTATCCAATTTCGCCCAAATTATTCCTTTCTTTTCTTTCGTGACCAATTTGTTTCCTCCTCCTGACTCTGTTCTAAACCCCTTTTCGTCGAGTATTGTTTCTGAGACCAATCCCACATTTCCCATGGTTGGGACCAGCAGCACGTCGGTGAGGACAACGGTGGATCTATCTCCATTGGGAAGGTAGCATTCGAAACTAGCGCTTCCCAATCCGGTGACAGCGTGGATGGTGCCGTCGGCTGTTCGGACTGTGCTGGTGTGAGGACGGATGTTGAAGAGTTGGTCTTTGAAAGGTGTTACGTGAGAAGTAGCTCCAGAATCAAGGATCCAGGTAAGGGGCAGAGAGGGTGAAGTATCGGTGCGTACCATGCATACTGTTGTGGATGATTCGTTGATAACTACCGACGCTGAGTTATCTCTGCCTGGTCTCCTTCTGTTTGAATCCCTTGTCTTGTTCTGTTCTTTGAGCTTTCTACACTCCTTGTACTCGTGGCCCTGGTACGGGTTATTCCGTTTCTTGCACCAGGTGCATTCCTTGCCGTTTGGTGTTGGGGTACTCCTGGTATGAAGTACCCTGTTGTTGCCAGTGGGAGGGGTTTCCTCTTGTAGGTTTTGTAGCCGTTGGCGTACATCTTCGTATGTAACATCCTGTTTGGTCTGGATGTTATCGACGACGTTGCTCATCGACTTTGGCAGTGAGGCAAGTAGGAATGCTGCCATTGCTTCGTTGGATTTGGTGAGGGGTAGCAGGGCCTGAGCGAGTTTGTGGTCGCCGCTCTGACACCTGGTTTTGAGAGTGTTCCAGTTCGTGTTGAAGGTCTCGAGATGCTCGGTTAAGTTACCGTTGTCTTGCATCTTCGTGTCTAGAACACGGCTGAGGAGGGTGATCGTCGTGTTTGGTGATACGCGATCGTAGAGGTCTTTGAGCGCCTTCCATGCGTGGTATGCATTTTCGGCGGAGACGACTGTTGGTTGTATGTCTTCGGCTACAGCTCCGATGAGAAGGCTGTGCATTTGTTTTCGGGCCTTTTTGATTTCGGCCTTGGTGAGGTCTGTGTCATCTTCTGAGGGGTTTTCGATGCTCAATGCTTCCCACCAGTCTGCTGCATCGAATGTAATCCTCCAGGCAGACGCCCAAGTTTGATAGTTGGATTGTCCCTTTAATTTTGGGAGTCCATCAAACTTGATGCGAATGTTACTGGGACTCGTGTTGTCTGAGGACTTAACCTCCACGGCCTTGGATGATTCACCAGCGTCAGACATGATGTTGTATGAAGTGTAATTGAGTTAACCGAATGTGGCGAGTGTTGTGCGGATTTTAATTGGCAAAATCCGGGCTCATAACCTGAAGTTCGGAGTGTGGGAGAAAATGACTTAAATGTAGTTTGAACACGTGACCTTGAGGGAGGATGTATTTGTAGTGCGAAGAAGATACTATTGCGCCGCTAAAGTTCCAGCGACAATGTGGGTGTTTGAGAGCTCTATATATACAGATATTCTAATACCACGTGATCCCCTGATTACATAATCCCTGACACTAAGCCTTGTCTGAATCCCTGTTCCTTCTATGAGTCATCCCTTATACATGAGTAATTCCATAAATAACCGATGTCGCAATGCCCTATTTCTACATTTACGAGGTGGTGCGGAATTACAGAGAGCTAGCTAGATCTAGAGGGAACAAAATCATAATATCTCACTCGGATCCGGAATATTCAAAGTTGGATATTTTTTTAATCACATCACGAAAGAGCAAGTATTGAAGAAAAGAAAACTGCTGATTATTAATTAATATACAAACAAGCAAGGGCTATTGCAAATTGTCAAATAGCTTGTTCGCTCCCACGAGAAAAAGAAGCAAATCGTCGGTAAGCTCGGTTGCTCCTTAACTAATAAAGTCAGAAAAAGGAAAGTGGGCCTTCTATGGTCTCCACCTCTTTCCCAGCTGCTTTCCTTTGTTGGAGGTTGCATCTTGTCCCTCTCCATCATGAACCCCAATATGCTTCTGCATGAAATATCTTGTTTTAAAGGCCTGACCACAGGTCTTATTCCTCTGCATCATGAACACCAATCTGGTGTTTCTGCATAAAATATCTTGTTTTAAGGCCCTTGCCACAGGTCTGACATCGAAATCGTGATAGTATAACTTGAGGGCGCGCCTATCACTCGGGCCAAGAATAGTCACAGCGATTAGTCCCTCTGGACAGGGGAGCCAAGAACCGAGGATGATTGGATGGCTCTCGGGGTAAGTCCCTTAATAGAGCTTTCCTCTAAGGGAAAGACCCAGCAGAATGCTTTGCTGACTAGGATCTCTGGTGCGCGCTGGACCGACATCTGGAAAGGCTTTGAGTGTTTCTTCTCCTTGATGTGCTGGGTAGAGGGGAGCAGGGCGGGAGACAATGTCTCAGATGTACCTTAGGCGGCCGCGGGCAATGGACAAGATCTAGAAACCAAGGATATCAGTAAGAGAATCTTCAAACAAGGCCGGTCAGTTGAGTGTAACTTACCAAGAGCCACCTACTTGTCCCGCATTTTTCTTGGTGGGGGGCATGACGAGTTTCGAGAGCCGTTGGTAAAGAAAGGCCCGAAGGCGAATTGCGCCTCATTTCATTGGCAAACAATGTACCAATTGTATCGCTCGATCGGAAAATGCAGCCTTCTTTTCATTCTGGCTTTGAAACAAATTTACCCACAAAGCAGTTAGTTGGTTTTTTTTCAGAAATGAAAAATCTAAATAAGAATTCTTACCGATATCCCCTCCGGAGGGCCCAAATCTGGAGGTAGTGTTGCAGGTGCAACGGGAAGATCAGTGATGGCCGGGGGCAACCAGTAGCACCGATCTATATACCAATTAGTAATTTAAATAGAGATTGGATTATACAAGTAAAGGAAGATCTCTTACGCGGTGCTTTCCTCGAGGAACGAGTATCCGTGGATACCAATGGAAGTGTCCACCAGTCTGACAATCGAATGCGTGTCAGCGGTCCAACACCCTATGAAGGGTATTGGATTGGCAGAGGGCCGGAGAACACCCGTCAATAACGGGGTTGGAAGAGATTCCACACCCTATATAAATTAGCTTGTGAAAAGATTAAGCTAGAATTGGAAAACAAACCAGAGTAAATTTGATCGCATGACTCCCCCCAACATGCATTTAAACAAGAAAACACTTTGTTGAGGGTGTTTGATTGGCGGAGAGGCCGGACAACACCCATCGAGAGCGGGGCGGGAAGAGATTCCACGCCCTATATAAATTAGCTCGTGAAAACGAAAAAGAAAATCAAAAAGAAAAAGAAAAATAAGGAATTGAAGAGGGTCTTTTGTACCAGTATGGGTTTCACCAAAAGCCCCCACGAGACTATGCCGACATCTCACCCATAACACCCACCACGACGGGAGAATAGGTGAATGAGCTGTGTGATAGATGATATATTAGCTCTAGAATTCAAGTACTAAGTGAAGTCATAGGGATGTGTACGGAGGAATAACGAAAAAGGGGAAGAATCGAGGAAAGGAACATTTTGATGAAAACACAGGAGATAGATAGGTTACACATACCAGCCAGCGGGACACAATGGGGGATTCTGCTCATTTCATCCACCATTCCCACCGCTTCCCGCCGAGGCCCCCCGATAGGCACTACAGGGCACTGAAACAATCTAGATAACCCAAACTCAGTCAAAACCCGACAAACGAAAATGAAAAATGGAGAGGGAAAAACTTACATCTCACCTCCGCTGTAGTGCGACCAAAGAACCAACACTTGGTATAGGATGACACTTGGGAGGGGGGCGGCCCCAATCCCGCCACAGCCTCATGGCTCACACTGGAGAGAGGCTTCAAGCATGCTGCTTGCAAGACAGAGAGATGCCGATATTGAAAAAAAAGGAGGTTTAATTAACTTGGATGAAATCCAGAGGTTGGGCAACTGCGATGATAAAGATGTAAAGGAAAGAAAGAGATTGGGCGGAAGATCCTGGGCCTTATATACTCCGGGGGGCGGGGATAAGAACAGGTGGTATAATTACGAGAGGATACATAGAGACGGGTGAGGGGGGAAACGGCTTGGACTTGGATTTTTCGCCGCCTGGTAGTGCTGGTTTTGCTGGGCACTGGCGTGTAAGAGGGATAGTTTTCGCCGCCGGGTAGTAGGTCTTTTCTGGGCATTGATATGCAAGAGCGGGGAATTTTTACTACCGGAGAGCATGCTAGCTGCCTGGGCATTGATGTAAGAGCGGGGGATATGCAGCTACATACATGTACATATCTGTAGGTAATTGCATAGAATTTACGAAGCACACGCAAGAGGCCCGGGCACTAACCCACTCCACTCCCAAAGCCAAATAGCCCCCCCCCTCTTGCCATCGTTCTCAAGCCACGACTAATGCTAGGATTCATGTAGCCCTCGTGTTGTTTATCGATACTGCCACAGTCTCGTTCCCTAGGAGCACTCGCAGTCGCCCTGCTCATCTATTGTCTGGTTGGGACTCGTAGTTATCACTATTACCTACATGTATTCATAATAGCAAAACCACGATCGCGAACTGTCGACTAATTCCATCCACCTACTGGTAACATTACCCCAAGCGACAGTGCCAGCTTACTACCACCTGTGAATGTGTTTGTGATCACGAGCCTCCCATGGTGTGATCACCTCAAATACCCTTCGTGGTGCATCGAGAATAAGATATTTGCTGTGTGTGTTATCATTGATCCCGTACTTCTGGTGCAAGCCATCATTGATCCCTTATTTCCGGTGCTGGCTATCATTGATCCCATATATTTGATTAGTCGACTGCTTCCGGTGCAAATAGTAGCTGCCAAGACCCGCCACTTATGAAAATGGTTAGCGCAACTGAGAGCTTGGGCCATCTTCAGTGGCGACGTCACCCGAATCTGGCCTCATCCGAATCTGGCCTCATCGCGGAATCTGCAGCGGGGATTTTCTCTTCCCAAACACCTCGAGTTCTGTCCATCGCCGCATCCAAGCTGGAGCGGGGTCTTTTCACCGTTACATTCAACTGGAGCAGCTTCTGCCTCATCTCGGTCTGTCCCTGCATCTGCATCGAGGAGAAGAGGGACTGAGCTCTGCATATCATGAACTCTCGTCACAGGTTTCTCTGGCATACTGAATACTCCATCTTTCTTTCATAACTGAGAACTACAAACCACACAGGTCAAATACATCCGCTCTCGCCAGTCCTGCATTCTACGGAGACGCCTATCCAGCCATCAATTCCTATTTACATGCCTCTCTAGCTCCCCCCACAGCTCACAACAATGCCGCCCACCTCGTCCTCGTCCTCCCTTACAATCACCAACCCCCTCCACCTCTACCGCACGCATCTCGCCACCTCCCGCCTCCTCCCCGACCCGCACCAGCACCGCGCCGCCCTCATCCTCCAATCCGTCTACGAGCGCCTCCTCGACTACACGCCCCCCACCCACCTCAACACGCGCCTGCACTCCCTCGCCCGCGCGCTCGACCCCGCCCCCGCCCCCCCACCACGCCGCTTCCTCCCCCACCTCCAACTCACCAGCCAAAACCGCGACGCCAAAAACCTCATCCGCGTCCTCACCACCGCCGACCACGCCCTCGAGCTTGACACGCCCCAGGGCCTCCTCCTCAGCGGCGAGGTCGGCACCGGAAAAAGCATGCTCCTCGACCTCCTCTACCACTCGCTCCCCACGGCGTCGAAAAAGCGATGGCACTTCCACGCCTTCATGCTGCACATCATCTCCTCGCTCGAGGCCATGCGCCGCACCCGCGCCCTCCCCGGAGAGGAGAACGAGTACTCCCTCCTGCGGCTTGCGCGTGCAACGGTGATTGAGAGCCCTGTGCTGTTTCTGGACGAGTTCCAGATGCCGGATAGGGCTGCCGCGAAGCTGGTTAGTGGTTTGCTGGTCGGCTTCTGGGGGATGGGCGGCGTGCTGGTGGGTAGCTCGAATCGCCGCGCGGAGGACCTGGTCCAGGGGCGGGGGCCGGGAGGGAGCGTGAGTTTGAGGGCTTTCTGAAGGCGCTGGGAAGGCGGTGTCAGTTTTGGGATATGGGCGGGAGCAAAGACTGGCGCAGGGAAGCTAGAGGACGAAACTGGTGGCGCGTGGGCTTCGCCGGCGAAGGCGCAAGCACAGAAACAGAAACCACTGCGGAGCCCGAGGCAGGGCCAGAGACCCCGGGCAAGCAGCCCGCCTACTACTTCACCACCGCCACCCCCACCACCTCCTGGGACGCCGCCATCGCCACCGCACTCGCCGCCACCTCCCCCACCTCCCCCACCTCCCCCACCTTCACCCCCACCTCCCTCACAATCTACACCCGCACCCTCCCCATCCCGCACTCCCACTCCGGCATCGCCCTCTTCACCTTCACCGAGCTGTGCGCCGCCCCGCTGGGACCAGCAGACTACATCACCCTCACCTCCCACTACCACACCCTCTTCATCACCGACATCCCCCGCTCACACACAGCACCCTCAAGAACGAGGCTCGCCGCTTCATCACCCTCCTCGACGCCGTGTACGAGTCCGGCGTCCGCCTCGCCATCCGCACCTCCGCGGAGCGCATCGACGAGCTGTTCTTCCCCGACACTGTGCCCGCGGAGCAGACTACCGCCGCAGCAGAGTGGGATATGTCGGGCGACGCAGACCCGCTGAGCGCCGAGGTGTATGCAGAGGCGCACCAGGACCTCACGGCGCCGTTTCGGCCGAATATTGTCGCGTATGATGATACAGGGAGGTCAGAGGCGGCGGGGGTGGGTGGGAAGGCGCCGGATTTTGCGGATGCGGCGGCGTGGACGGGGGAGGATGAGAGGTTTGCGTGGAGGAGGGCGGTGAGTCGGTTGTGGGAGGTGACGGGGGAGGGGTGGTGGGGTGGGGTTGTGTGGCGGCCGCCGCTGCTTCAGAGGGGGTGGGAGGGGAGTGTGGGACAGGTGGTGGAGAAGAAGGTGGGTGGGGAGATAGGGGGGGTAGAGAAGGGGGATGTGGGAGGGACGCATGAGAGGGAGGGGGTGGTGTTTAGTCCGTTTCGGAAGCACCCACAGGAACCGCCTAGGTTTGGGGGAGAGCATTTTTGGAGTGTTGTGAGATGGGGGAGGAGGGCGGGGAATTGGGGGAAGGGCGTGGAGGGAGTGAAGGAGCGGAAGGAGGACGAGAAGGAGAGCAAGGAGAGCGGTGGTAGATAGTGTAAATAGTTAGTGTAGTTAGAGTGTAGTGTAGATAGTAGAGAGTAGATGGTTGGGTAAGGTGAGTCTGTCTCGTTCCTGGACTGGAAGGGAAAGTCTGAGGACGGGACTTGTGAATAAAGGATGCAGAGTTCCGGGGGCCAGTGATTGATACACCTCATGATGGGGTTGATCGTTGGCTCGTGTACTATTGCAATAACCAGCCTCGTTGTAGAGGGCGGTGAGAGTATACAAAAAGTTTCTGCCGTCAATTTTTCTTGAAATACTAGTTGTTGATATCGGCCCACATCAAGAAAAACAGCACCCCAGGATGAGAAGCTGGGGACAAAAAAAAAAGAATTGATATTGCCCCGATTGGGATTCGAACCCAAGATCTCCTCACAGCTCTAAACCTACGCGCTGAGTTTCTGGTATGTTAACCGCTACACTACCAGGGCATGCCTTTTTGCGTGGTATAATCAAGTTTGAGCCCATCCCCTCGAGCCCCCTTGGTAGGGTGGGGCACCATGTACGCAGAGGTGCTGTCTGCCGCAGTATTCTACATCCCTTTCTTGTTACTAACCGGAATCATTTCATGATTGCATGGCCATCTCAATTTATACTAATTTATACTAGACCTTTTGATGGCACCTGAGTCTTTAGTAGTAACCTTCGTGGTACGGAAGTCCTTTGCCCTTAATTCAAACCGGGTTATAAAGCCTTACGTTTCTCTTTTCCCTGCTGCTCTGGCCTGGAACCTTTTTGACTTTGGAAGTACTTTCTCGGGCGGAGTAAATAGAACAATCATTTTGTTGGAGGGCTGTTTTGGCATATTCTAGTACACCCTTAACATTGTATGTTCGGAGCCTGGATGCAGGGCCAATCATCACCCGCCATTTGCGAAATTTCTTTTCGTGCTGACCTTTTATATATTAGGAGATATACAAAACGCAGGCCTAGGCGTAAGACCACCAGTCACTCCCGCACTGCCAAAAACCATGCAGGGAATGGTTCCCCGGTGCCAATTGAGGATCCGTAGCATACATATCATGTATGTGGGGCGGGTGGTGGGGCCATAGGGGAGCGCATTCTGGGAGGATAGTATATATATCGGAGGTTATCCCCCGTTGTTTAAGGCTTTCAAGCGTCGTGCTTTAATTTGCTGAAGTTGCCTACCTACCCGCTTCTATCTTTTTTCTTTTGCTTTTTCTTTTATTTTTGCGGCTAAAGACCACCCCGGAGTCCTGGCAGCAGCAGCTATCAGGCAGGGATGAGAGGTCTGGCTGTGATCGAAGGGCGCACACTCGTCCTTCAATGGTTTTCTTTTGTTACTTTCGTGCTATAGGCTGTTGTTCTTGTTCTGTCTCTGTCTATGCAATCATCAGTACTCGAACACAATCTCCTATCAAGCTCGTGTTTGGCAATTGGTATCCTTCCGTACCCTACTTCCGTTCCCTTGTTGTCAAAAATCCTCCTGCGGCGGAGGCCAATTGCAACGCAATGCCTACCAACCCATACCAACGGAGAACCATTGGAATAATTCACTCTGAATAGTAGTAGCCAGGTAGCCATCATTAATCGCTTCGGGACTTGGTGGTAGATGTAGGCTGGCATCTATTACTTGCGGATGGCGATAGGTGTTGAATTTGGCTAATGGAGGGGGTGTATTTGGACGCTGGGGGTGTGATAAAAGGTGGTGTTGGGAGTGGTGGTGGTGGTTGGAGGGCGTGCCTGTAGAGGGAGTTTTTTATATTTGTGTTCCCGGGAGGGGTGGTGATAACCTCTCATCTGCCCCTCATGCTCGAATTCTCCTTTATTATACCGCTGTTTAGTTGATCACTGTTGTAATTGAGATGTCTCCAATTTGCCAATGATTCATGAGTCTCGCCACCGGAGGTCATTCAAGCTGCTCGTGCGTGCCTGATCCGCACTCAATGACTCCTGCTGCTGATCCGTAACTACTTTCTTGTGAGAAGCACACTCATATTGAATGGTTCTGCGGTAGATGTGGATAGAGCTGTACTCTACTCATTAGCCTTTCTCTCTATATACACAGTAATGGGGCGGCGAAATATTTGCATATATACCTAGGGAGTGCCATCATGCAGTATAAATCGACAGGGATACTTCTCGTACACTTAGGATTCGAAAGCCTGCGGTGAGTGGTGTGACTGCCGGTGATGGGCAAGGAAATGCCGGAGATATTGTCGGTTGTAGAGTGGGATGTTTGGAGGCAGTGACTGTGGGGATATCGTTGGATGTGATGTCGATATGGTGGAGGACTCGGAGATGGTCAGCTGTGGGACTCAGGGGACGTGGGGAGAGTGATCTAGGAATTGCAGCGTCTGAAGCTTGAAGAGTAAGACTGTCTTTTCGTCAGATAATTGGGTGATAAGTATGCGTATTCAAGATCGAAAGGGGGGTTTTTTTTTTGGGGGGGGGGGGGGGAAAGAGTGAGGCTCTGCTCAGTAGGGTGGCTGTGTGCACGTAGAGTGCAGGATCGTTCTCGTGGGGACGTACCTGCAGGGCAGTGAGTGATTTTTCATGATTTACCATTTGCGAAACCTCGGGTACTCGCATCGAAATACCGCTAGCTTAAAATAGGTTTAAAGGGTATTCGAAGTGAAAAAATAACGCTCATTCTATGCTGTGTCTTCAAAACGGGCAATAGCCAGTGTTTGGTGAAGATATAACGACCGAGTGATATTATGTGATTTATAAATTGATTAATTAATTAGGTGACCGAGTGATTCATCATCACTCACTCGGGCCCTGTCACTTGATCATTAATTTCTAGCTGTCTCAACGAATATTAGATACCCTTTTTATGGGTACACTCCATCATAACACCAGCTCGTACTGGAATGGCCAGATATTCACATCTGTTATATCACGTAGGAATGTAATGAATGCATAGCCCTTATAAAATGAGTAAATAGATATACGAGGTAGATTACTTTAGCAAAGTAAATATATGTACATGTGTAGTTATAAGTCCTTTTGGTTTCCCGTGGCGCGTAACACTCCTGTTAGACTCTCCGCTTCCGACTGATGCTTAAGTAAAATCAAACAAAAGCGAATATCAACGCCAACGTCGGGTATATATGATACCTAATACCAGCCTCGGTGACTGTTTAAATCTGCTTACTGGGCATTTTCCACTCGGATATCGATAGCCCTAAAAGTGAGCCCTATTACTAGCTCCCACACACAGGATATCCCAGTCCCATCGTACTCCTTAACACCCCCTCGCCTCCTTCATTCCTCTTTTTTCTCCGCCACTCCGCCACTCCATCTCGTGCCCAAACATCTCTTGTAGGGCGAGTGTACTGCAGACAAACCTCTTGTAGGGCATCTGTACTGCACCACACCAGCAAACGCATCTGAGCGCATTGCTGTGTGTACAGTACACAATGTAGCAGAAGGTAAGTTGTCTTCTTTTGCTCCTTTTCCGTGATCATCTATTAATCTTTTCTGCTTTAAATACTGACGGTTACCGTAGATACGGCTGGGTGCCGGCCTTCCGCACCTACTGCGTATAAACATAATTTAGCAGAAGGTAAGTTGCCATTATTCCTTTTCCTTTACTGATTTATCAGTGTTGTTGCAAATTCTGACTGTTTTTATTGCAGATATTATCTGGTGCGGGTGCGGGGGGCCGAACCAGCAGCATACAAAATGTAGCAGAAGGTGAGTTGTCCTTTTTTCTTTTCGTTCTCCGTTATTAATCTATCTGTACAAATACTGACGATCCTTGTTGTAGATATTGTATGCTGCTGGCGTGGTGTGCCTAAACAGCAGCATACAAAATGTAGCAGAAGGTTGGTTTCCATTTTTGTTCCTTCTCCATCGTTGATATACATCTCTGTGCTTCTGCTAATACTGAACATCGTAGATATTGATCGGTGCAGGCATGATGGTGCACCGACTCTGTCTGCGTCATACATAACGTAGCAGAAGGTAAGTTCCTATTTCTCTTCTATCAATCTATCAATGTTACTGCAGATACTGACAGCTGTTATCGTAGATATTGTACGGTGCCGGGGTGGCGGGCCGGCCGACTCTGCATACGCATAATGTAGCAGAAGGTAAGTTATAGTTTTTGCTCCTTCCCCATCGTTAATCAATCTGTGTTTCTGTGCCTGATACTGACGATTGTTGCCGTAGATATATTCTCTGCGCCCGTGCCCCTACGAAATACACAAAATATAGCAGAAGGTAAGTAACCACTTTTGCTCCTTCTCCCTTATTAATCTTTCTGTCTCTTTTTTTCGATGCTAACAATCGTTCTTTGTAGATATATTCGGTGCGACCGTGGGTCCCCGGGATATACATGATGTAGCAGAAGGTAAGTTACCATTTCTGTCCCTTTTCCACAATTAATCAACATGTGTTGCTGCAATTTAAATTTAAATACTGACGGGGGTCGTCAGATATTGACCGGTGTGGGCTTGGTGGTGGTCGAACACCAAGTTGAGACCGTCCTCTTCTTCCTTGGGGAGTATTTCTCTTGGTTCGAGGCTTGTTTAATTGAGAAGTTTGTATACGATTCCTTATCTCCTAATTAATAAATTGTTAAAACATATACTGACTTCTCTTCTGTGGATAGGGAAACCTCCCCTCAATTAACAGGTCTCAACATTTCTTGCACCATCCACGGTGCCGGAAAGGTGCGCGGAAATATTATCTCCGCGCAAAGTCACCGGCACGGAAGGCATCGGTGGGGGGCTACCACCGTGCCAGATCATCTGGGCCTGGGAGGGCTGGATGGTCAGCAGTTGACGGGGGTCCTGGTCTCCCCTACAAATCATCAGGGCCTTCGGCAATGATGGGGGCCAGGGCCTTCAGGTCTGCAGGCTGCTCAGAGTAAGAGAGACCCGAGTTGTCTTCAGCCTCTTTGGCTGATATAACGGCCTTGGTTTCCCGGGTGTCGAGGGATACTTCGAGCTCCGGGGTTTTGGGGGTTCTTGGTGGATATTCTTTGTTTTCTGGGGTAGGAGAAAAGTGTTTTTATAAATAAT